GAGAAACTGTTAAAACTATTTAAAACATGATAATGATAAACGATAAAGACGTCTGAATGCAGCGTGCTTTACATGCAAGAGATGAATTGTGTTGCAGAATGTCTGGTGTGCAAAGAAATGAAAAATAAAGCAAACTACAACCTGTTCTCTGAAAGCTTAAACTGTCAAGATTCACAGCTGTCTTTGGAACTTATTATATTTAAACATGGTGTAAATTGTGGATGACACATTTGTTAATGTTAATCTTTCAAAACAATATTTAAAAACTTATGTCATTGAAGAAATCTGCTATCAGTGAAACTACGGTAGATTAATTCAGGTTCTGAATTTTTCAAGCACAGAAAAAATGGAAATGGTCATTCATTTGTCATTGAGCCTGTTGCTAACAGAAAATGCTACTTTGATGTGGGACGGACTGTCATTTGTTAGGTGTTTGGTTTTCACTTTGAAAAGCCTTGTATTACTTTTTACCCTCCCAGCCGTTGCAGGCTGATGGGGTATTGGCGTCACTGTGCTGGGTGGGCAAGCGACGTGGCCACTGAAGTTTGTGACTGTGATAACTTGAACAAGGTGATGTGGCAGTTTCAAATTGATACTATGGGTATATCTATTAGGATGTTGAGAGGTAGCACTGGTGGCCACTAGTATTTCTCTTAAATGTGGAGATGCCTAACATCTCAGCCCTGTCTCTGGCCCCTCATCCCAAATAGGTCGCAGCGAATGGCTGCTACTCCATGAGCCTGGTTCAGCCAGAGGTTTCTTTCTGCTCAAAGGAAGTTTTTTTTTTTTTTTTTTTCCCTTCTTGCCACTGTCGCCAAGTGCTTGCTCATAGGGGGTCATCTTGGGGTTTTCACTTTATCATTGTAACGTCTTTACCTTACGATATAAGTGCCTTGAGTCAACTATTGTGATTTGCCGCTACATAAATGAAATTGTATTATGGAGCTTTGTAAGATTTGGCAACATTTTAAAACCTCTTAAATGGCAGTCCATCCATTTTCTTCTGTTTGTCTAATTCAGGGTTGCAGTTGGGCTGGAGCCTATGCCTGTCATAGGGCAAGAGGTAGATTGGTGACCTGTCCAGGTTATAATCTGTCACTCTCACATTCACACCTAGAGCCAATTTAGTGTTGCTAAGAATAACCTGACATGCATGACTGTGGGAGGAAGCCATAGTACCCACAGAGAACCCTCGCAGAAGCACGGCGAAACTCTGCACACAAAGGCTCCAGTTGATTTGAATCCAGGTTTGTTACCCAGACGAAGCCATGTTAGCGAGAAAAAATACAAATAAATCCAGTCTTTAGCACACTCATTGTCTTAAATAACTGCCCTAAAATTAAAACAAATAATTGATCCCAGGGCTTAAAAACCTTTTTTTTTTTTTTTTTTCTCAACCAAAAAAATTTAATACATGAATGAACGTAGATTATTTTTATTTTTTTTGACTTTTTGCCCTCTTTTACTTTGCACATTACAGCCTGGGGGAAAACATACTTATAGATTACATCTACTCTCTTCTGTTTAAGACGTCCTTCCTGTAATTACCTAAAAGTGCACAGTGCACAAATACACATGCAGCGTGGTATTTTTCAACTTGCGGAGGTTTCCTCGAACGCTTACAGATGCTGAGTCTACAAAGACTTGGTAACCGTTTTGATGTACACGTCTGTGGTTCAGATTTCACTGTTTGTAAAGGCAAACTGTAACAGGCGCTCCGCCAGCAGTCGAAGACTTTCATGCCCTCTGCATATTTTGATTATCATTTCGTGTTTTTCCTCTATAGATGTTCCTGTAAATTAGTGTCAGCACGCTTGCGTGTTGTGGGTTGTACAGCTTCCCACACACCTAGCAAGCCCCAAGTGTCCCCAAGGTTTGATTGTCAAGGTCTGAGTCATCGTATAAAAATATCAGTACTTAGTTGTCATGAACGTCTTGCTGAGAGTTGCCTCTAAATCTTTTATACTGTGGTTTTTAAAAATTTTTTTTATAACAAAGCGTGAGATTTGTACTGCTCTCACGGTCACTCCACCACCATCTTCAGTTAAACTTTCCTCTCAGGCCTTCTTGTTCCTGCTTTTGTCGATAACTCCATTTGTTATGTCTGTCTGTGGAGGGAACTGAGATGCAGCTTTCAGGAGAGAAAGATGCAGGGAGAGATATTTGGCCTGTTGCTGAATGATCGGGGTCAGGGTGGCTATTTGGAAAATGCTGTAAAAACACATCTGTGTGCCATGCTTGGTAAATTTTCAGCATCACAGCATGGTGCCTGCCATGCGCGTAATGTTGTGAGGTCCCATCTATGTTCACAGCAAGCAGTAATCGCTGCAAATGCATGCTTTGGCAGGTTTTATTCATCTGCAGAAATCTAAGTAGATTATATAAAAGGAAAAAATCTTTTGGTTTCTTTTTTTTGTGCACAAGAAGTTTGGGGCTTAAGGAAACTTACGTTTTTTGAATTGTTTCTGTGGAGATTTTCACTTTGCATGCACCATTACAAGATCTCAAAACATTTGCAAAAGTGACAGACTCGCCCATAATCGCGATTCACAGGAAGCTAAAGAATGCAGAGGCCGTCTAGCCAAATGCCACAGTGATGGGACCGGTGTTTTGATTACAGCGGCACAACTTGTTTCGATGCCACGACGGCATGACTGCAGGAGGCAGGTTGATGGGACGTTTAGCTTCAAAGAACTAAACGTTTGTTTCAGGAAGACGTGACATTTGTGCGAAATGCCAGAAATGGTAACTAATTGTGTAACGTGGGAAATATAAGGCCCTTCTTTCAGCATGCCGGTGCAAAACCACAGCTACAAATTACTGTACATCCGTGTGTGGTTTTCATATCGAAACAAAAGTAAGTGGTAGGGGTGTGTGTCTGTGTGTGCAATGCCACAGCTTGTTGCTCTGTGGTATGCCTTTTTTTTTTTTTTTGTTTTTGTTTCTTCGTTTCTTTTTTCTTTCTTTTTTCTTTTATTCCCTGCAAGACCCCATCATTGCTCCTGTAATTCACTCACTGCATAATCCAGGAACAGGATGCTCAAGTATGTGTTTCTGTGCCTGTGGTGGCTCTGTGACTCACACTGAATGGAAGTCAGAGGTAGATGAAAGCTAGAAAAAGCCAACTCTGCCTACTATAATCCTACCACTCCCTGCCACCCCTCTAATACTTCCCAACCTCACTGGGACTGTAACAAAAAAGAAGCGTTCTTATTAATGAAGAGCTTCTGGAAGTTTGTATCAAGGACTGGAATTTGTGGAATTGGCACACACCTTTTCTTGCTTTCATTCAGACTGATCAGAATGTCTTCCTCCTCTTTTCTGTTTCGCCTGTGTGTCTCAAATCAGGCTTACCTCACAAGTTTCACTAAGGGGCCCAAGGGAATTACCATTACAAAGTACGTGTGCACATAGTTTTGTGTGGGAGAGACGTCCACGACAGGAATTCCAGACTTCTCTTTTTCAGCATTTTACCCCAGCAGCGATTTCAAACAAGTGGCCTTTACCCTCCATCAACCCTGTTAGCCTTCACTCCAGAGCCCACCAGGGGAGCAACTGAAAAATTGAGCAGGGCAGAGAGCACCAGCTTCCAAAGCCCGACTGTAAATAAACAAGCTCACGTTGTCTGCTGATTCGTCACAGAAGGTTTCTGTTGTGGAGAGGTTTTTATGAACTTCCCTTCAGCTGGGCCCTCAACCCCAGTATCACCCACAGATGTCAGAAATGTGCAATGAATCACAAACGTAATATGACTCATGTTTCAGTGACACATTGGGGGCAGAGCCCCAGGCATTGAAAACTGAAAAAAGTGGTTGTGAAGAGGCATGCATAAAGCGAGTCTCTCTGGAGTTTTTGTGTAAAAGTGTCTCTTGTATAACAATATCCTAGTGAACTGTGGCATTATAAGTTGAATCCAAACAGTGTATTGGCACATCAGCATAATCGTTTAGGCCGTGTGAAGGCAAGCCTCAGCAGAGCCAGAAATAGCCCTGACATGAGCGTGGTGCATTAAGTTGAACAGAACGCTCCGTTTCTGGATCAAAGTGACTCATGTCAAAGACATCTCATGGTCTTAGTGTTGGTGTGCGCATGTTCTCTTAAGACCAAATGTGTGATCTGTGTCGCACACAGGTCAACTGCCCAACGCGTGTTTTTCGTTCTCTTAGTGCTACACAACTAGCCTTCATTAATATTGCGGGGTGCTGTTGTAGTTCCAGGAGAAAGTTGAATCATTGTTTTTTTCCTGTTCCTCCTTGAGTTGGCAGATCCTGTTAAAAGTCATCTGAAATGTGACGACAGTCATGTCGGAGGGATGTGAAGTCACAACATTGAGTTTGTTTATTTTCTTTTTCTTCGCGGTCTTTCTGTTGATGCTTTGTTGTTATTTGGATGAGAGATTTCTTATGATAGAAGCTGTTGTCTTGCATCATTGAATAGGTTGGTCATCAAGAGTATTTCATCTGGTGACTCATGCACCTCCTCATTCAGATTCTGTATATAGTTAAAATGAGGCGGACACATGTTTCATTGTGAGTCGATGTGTCATGAAGCACATGTCAAAGAGCTTACATGTCTGTGGGTTTTTTCTCTCTCTCTCTTTTTTTTTTAAGTATGACAGTATTCAGTACACAGTCATTACTATTTCTTTACTAGATGTTTCCCTGCGTATCTGCATCATCTCTAGACTTTCCTCTGTATGCAGGATTAAGTTCTAAGTGTTAGATGTGGTTTCACTGAGTGTAGCATGTTTGTTTATTAAAAAACAGAAAAGTACCTTTTAATTCATCGTGCATCTTCTTTCTTTCTTTTTTAAATGAATAAATAATTGCTTGTGTCAAAAATGAAACTCCAAGCAAATAATGTAATATCTTCTAAGGAGTATATTGCTAAATCTAATCACCTTTTAGACTTTCTGAAGATAAACTAAAGGTCGGAAAATGCTAAAGGTTCCAGGATGTGTATCAACCTCACATCATCTTTTAATTTACCCCCCCCCTCAGGAGCCGTTGGGGCCCAGTCCCTGTTCTCCATGCCTCGGCGGCCTGGCTATGGCACCATGGGGAAGCCAATCAAGCTGCTGGCCAACTGCTTCCAGGTGGAGATCCCCAAGATGGATGTCTACCTCTACGAGGTGGACATCAAGCCTGACAAGTGCCCACGGCGAGTCAACAGGTAAGATTGATCCACTGGCTGCTTTCTGGAAAACCTCTTACATGCAATATTTACATTAGCTACATTTCTCGTTCTAATCCATCATGAAATATTGAGCAGCTTGAAGTGACCTAGCACTTGCCAGAGCGTACCTGTAGTTGTTGTACACAGAAGATATTGTTTGTGTTGTACGGGAGGGGCACGGGATGAAAACAAAATCGAATGCTAGCTTTTTTAGCCTGGCTTATAGCTGCCAACTGCCGCTTCTGTCCAGTGGAGAGCTCACAGCACACAGTGTAAAGTTGTGCCTGTTACTTCTGTCGGCATGCACTTTTTACAAGAGACAGAACAACTGCAAATCCTTTGTGTTCATCTTGTGCAGGGAGGTGGTTGACTCTATGGTGCAGCACTTCAAGGTGACAATCTTTGGGGATCGCAGGCCAGTCTACGATGGAAAGAAGAGTTTGTACACAGCCAACCCACTGCCTGTGGCACCCACGGGGGTGAGCTGCAGAAAAGACACAGACACAAAGGAGACAAACGCTCCTTTTTCTTCAGTGCAAACTGAATGTACTCAGACACACAATCTCAGCTGCTCATTATCACCTTAAGTGAGAAACGATGCATCCCTGCGGTTGTTAAAGAACGTAGACGATGTTCAGAGCATCAATCTGTCTGCACTCCTTTTGTTTTGGCCCACAGGTGGACCTGGATGTCACTCTCCCAGGAGAGGGAGGGAAAGATCGGCCCTTCAAAGTTTCCATTAAGTTCGTGTCTCTCGTCAGCTGGCACATGCTCCACGAGGTGCTGACTGGCCGCAGCATGCCTGAACCCCTTGAGCTGGACAAGCCTATCAGCACCAACCCTGTACACGCAGTGGACGTAGTACTGCGAAACTTGCCCTCCATGAAGTGAGCTGCTTATTGCTGTCATGTTTTGTTTTTTGTTTTTTTTCTTGAATGATTTCCTTATAATACCATGTAAGATAACTGGCAGATAAAGTTATGGAATGAACTTAAATTAGGAACGTTTTCATCCTTAATTTACTTTTACCTTCTGTACTTTCTTTAGCTTCATCTTCAGTCACCAAACACAGACATTGTAAAACCCAATCCCTGAGATACTCATAGCAAATACAATGTATTTATTTTGTCCTAGTAGCACTAATATCAGCACTCCGATCCCAGCGGAAATCAAACACGGCTGACACGGTCGCTCACAAGCACCTTACCACCTTTCATTCAGTATCGCTTCCCTAAGGCTCAGCAAAAGCACAGTTGAACACAATATTGCCAGAGCTGTAATGAAAACCTTTTTCAAAGCATTATTAAAAAGTGGTAATATCGACACCTTTCATTTAGCTGTGCTCACAGGTTCTGGCAGCCCGGTATTACATTGGCATTTTGACACATTGCAAATGTAGGATTTGCAAAGACGAATGAGACCTATATACAATACATAATGAGTCTTTTTGGACGGGTAATAGGAGGTTAATGGGTCCGGGCAATGTTACCACCCTCTCATCTCGCTGATGTACTTTCAGGCCATATTGAACAGCAGCTGAATGTGACTCCGCATAAATTCATATTAACCTACATTCTCAATTCAAGCTAATTTTACTTTTTCTTTCATCTTCAACACAGATTTCTTTTGCTCCTATTTGACCTTTTGTTTTTCAGGCATAGCTGTGAGATCATGGTATGCTAATCCATATGAGCCAAAAATTCAGGCTGCTCTAAATGCTCTGCTTTAGGACTTTTGATGATGTAATTGAGAGGGGATATCTTAATATTGCTATCTCAGGTTCACAGCATTGGCCTCAGTCACTTACTTTTCTAATCTTCTGTTTGCAACTGTCAGCCAATCAGAAGAAAGCTGGCTTGATTAACAGGTGGCTTAAAGGGAGAATTGCTAAAACACCTCCTTACAGACACGGTCAGTCTGCATCAAGTTGCAGATTTATATACTGTTAGTCATATATAGAGCTACTCTACTATAGCCCAGAAAAAAATTGTGGAGGAGTATGATTGGGTTCCCTTTAATATCAAACTTATAATTCCCCGTTTTCTGCATCTAGGTACACTCCAGTGGGCCGATCCTTCTTCTCTGCTCCAGAAGGCTACGACCATCCTCTGGGAGGTGGGAGGGAAGTTTGGTTTGGTTTCCACCAATCTGTGCGCCCTGCCATGTGGAAGATGATGCTAAACATTGACGGTAAGAACAAAAACCCAGTGTTTTCCTTGCCATCATTTTTTTTTTTTTTTTTAATTCTTGACTCAAAAACAAAAGAGTAAAGTCCATATTCCTCATATTACTAAATATTGAAAAATGCCCAACACCCACAGCCTTTTCTTTGTAATTCAATTTTTGGTTGTTTACAGTCACAAATCAATTTTGCCGTTTCACTTTTGCAGCTGGGGAAGCTGGATTATAATATCAAGTCTCCATGTTACAGTTTTTATAGAGTTTTTGCACATGATCTTTCCACTTTTTATTTGAAGAAATGTAATGACTTTATTGGACAAAACTTTGACACGCTTCTTAATAGATGCATGTCAAACTTTATTTGTTTCAATAGCAATGATGGGGTCTGGCAGGCTCACTTAATGCTGTACTGAGGGCCAAATGTTTTCATGAATACCTTCTGTAGTCTAAAGAAAAACTTAGGCTACGTTCACACTGCAGGCGAAAGCGCATCAAATCCGACTTTTTGGACCCTATGCGACCCATATCCGATCATGGTATGACCGTGTGAACCGCACAAATCTGATATTTTCAAATCCCATCTGAGTCACTTTAGTATGTGGTACTGAATCCGATACATATCTGATGTTTCAGAAAGCGACTGCTGTTTGAATGGTCATGTCGCATTAAATCCATCTTTTACGTCACTGACACAAGACAGACGCCAATTATCAGCGCCGGAGAAGACATCGTGAATGTTTCCTGGCCATCCAGTGTAGATGTTAGTGAAACTGTTGGGAAGACAACATTGGAGAAACGTTAACATTTTATTTGTACTGTATGATCTGCAGATTCTGACAGAAATCTGCAACTATCCTTTGAAGCACCGCTCCTCTCTAAAACTGCAATAAGGGTAATTATTAGGCCAAATGTAAATAACATAATAACTGTATAATTTAAAGCAAAATTGGGAAACGTAAAGTCAGGAACAAGTCTTTATATTAAGGGCCATCAGTCAAACAATATTTTTTGGTCTGGTCTAAACGGAGCGCGTTGTGTGTGACGCCTTCTTTTGTGCATGCGGGCCGCTTTGAGCGTTCACACTAGAGCGCGTTTGCTGTCACATTTTATTTGTAGTGTGAACGAGCAGACAAAAACATCGGATTTGGGCATTAAGACCTGCAGTGTGAACATAGCCTTAAAGATGAGCTTTTTGCTCTTGTGTTGTCACGCAACCAACCTCGAAACTCCTGCTGTTTTATGTTCGGTCACCGGAAAACCGATTCGATTTGTTGGCGTCGAGTTAATTCTGTTGGCTAAATGTGGGTTGTTTGGAAATGAGTAGAACTGTTGAAAATCTAAATCAATAATTGGCTCTAGCTTGAGCTTCCTATCAGTAGAGAAACATAACACGAGACAATGCACTACAATTTCAATCTGTTGTTATTTGTGGAAAAATATGTGGCAGAGGGGATGGCAGAGAATGTGTCCTGCCATATGCACACCGCAGGAGGCTTGTGGAGATTGTGTCTGGCAGGGCTGCTGATAAGAAAGAGTGTGTGAGTGTGAGCGAGAGAGCGCCTAAGGAATACGGAGGAAAGTGGGTTCTTGGCTGGATGGGAACTGACTAGTTTGTTGCTGTGGAGACGGAGAGAAGCATGTATGTGTGTGCTTGTGCTGTTGTGCCTACATATATGAGACTAGTGGGTGTTTCTGGGGTCAGGAGGGTAGCTGTGTGGAGCGTTTCCTTGAGACAGCTTTTGTTTAGTTCTAAGTGCTTGAAGCCGTTGTCTCTTTTGGAGCATCTCTGCTGCTCTCCGATTTATTTATTTTTTTGTCTTCTTTGGCCTCTTGTACAGAACACTTGGCCACCTGAAGTGTCTTGTCTGCTCTTCATCAGCAAACTAGAACTCCGACTCTTTGCAAACCATTCACATGCTGCATTGTATATTTGTAAAGCAAAGTAGTAAGCCTGCCTTAAATAGCCAAGCACGAAGGAAACTAACACTACCTCCCACAGTCTGCATTTTGTGCGTGTAAGTACTCTCAACAGCTACTTCATTAAGTACACCTATTCAATTGGTCTTTAATGTTAAAAATCTAATTGGCCAAATACATGTCAGCAACTACTTTAGTCGTGGTCAGAACGACCTGCTGCGGTTCAAAATGAGCATTAGAATAAAAAACAAATGTTATTTAAGTAACTTTGAGTGTAGTCTGACATCAATGGAGCATTTACAAACTGCTTCAAATCAAATGACTCAAATAGCTGCTCTGTATGCAGAAGAGCACCTGTGAAGACACAACACATAGAATCTTAAAGTAGATGAGCTACAGCAGCAGAATTCTGACCCTACCCCATGAATGGAGGTAGGGTCAGAATTTGGTGAAAACAACATGAAGGAATGGATCTGTCCTGCCATAAATCCTTGGTTCAGGCTGCTGCAGGTGATGTAATCGTGTGGGGGATATTTTCTTGGACTACAGGAGTATTGATGCTGACCATGTCCATCACCACAGTATACTTCTGATGGCTGCTTCCAGCAGAATAGCATGCCATCTCACAAATCTCAGATCATCTCAAATTGGTCTCTTGAACATGACGATGAGTTCACGTATATCTCAATCCAATAGAGCAGTAGGAGATTCGCATCATGGATGTGGAACCAACGACTCGGCAGCAACTGTTTGATGCCATCATGTAAAAATGGACCACAATCACTGACGCATGTTTCCAGCACCTTGTTGAATCAGTGCTGTGAAGAATTAAGTCAGTTCTGAGGCAAAAAGAGGGTCCAACCCGATACAAGCAAAGTGTATTTAATGAAGTAGCCAGTGAGTGTAAATGAAATTATTTTAATTGCAGAGCAGTGAGATTTTTTTTAAAGTTTTCTTTTACTTCGGTGACTCAGACACTTCTGCGCATAGATAATGAAAACAGAATGCGTGGGAAGGTAAGCTAAGCGTCATAGATGTGCGTTTTTAGTGTTTTCAGAGATTATGTTGATGACAACGCATCACTAGATTACGTCTCAAGATTCTCATCCTCACCGCTGCACTTCTCCATCTCCCCGTGTCCATTTTTGGGTTTCCTTTGATCTGGCTTTTAGTTTTGTCATACCTGTTCTTTTTTTGTTTCCCCCTCTCTCTCATCTCACAGCTACTTTTATGTGCTTATACACAAGGTGCTAATGCAAGGTAGCCTCCACATCCCCTTCTGCATGAATCATGCTTCCTGCGCTGTGTGGTTACCATGCACATTTTGAATGAACATCAGGAATACACTTTGTTCCTTTTGGAGTCTTTGCTGTTATAGCTCAGCTGGTCTTTATATGGTGATTTTGGTCCTTTACTGTCAGGTTTTGACTTAAGCTTTTATTTATTTTTTTATTCTTATCTCAACTTGAAAACAATTTCTTTGGGAAGTGCCGCGAGTGTCCCATTGGCACATACCTCCACTGCCTGTTAACCGTGCACTGAAAAGGCAGAAGTGTCACCACCTGTTTTACTCACGAAATTTGGTTTCCTGTGACTTCTTTGTCTTCATCAAATTGAAAGTGAATTTGAACGCTGGTGTCATTTTGTCACCTTAGAGGAAATTCGGTGCAGATGACGAGCTTTTCTTGACGTCATGAAACTTTCGAAATCGCTGTAAAAATGGTGGCTGTACTGGATGTTTTCCATGGGTGCACCAGAAGACGAACTTGAAAAGGGAAATTGGCAAAGAAAAAGAAAGTAATGCTAAATGTTCTTTCTGTTGATTGGACAGCTTTTTATTTTTTCTGATGTTGATTCCTGTCCAGTAATAAACAAAACATGATTTTTGACTGGATATAACTTTTTTCTCTTTCTCTCTCTTTCAGTTAGATATTGTTTGCAGTGCGTCATATTCATTTTTCGTTTTTTTTGTTTTTTTGTTTTTTTTGTTGTTGTTCCTAAATGACTCTAGTTGTTTTGTTTTTTTTGCCTTTGCAGTGTCTGCCACAGCCTTCTACAAAGCCCAGCCAGTGATCCAGTTCATGTGTGAAGTGCTGGATATTCACAACATCGACGAGCAGCCTCGGCCTCTCACAGACTCGCACAGGGTCAAATTCACCAAAGAAATCAAAGGTGACGAGTTGAGTTCAAATCGGATTAAACTGGGACTCCACGAATCACAGCTCTTCATACAAAAGCAAATACTTAATGGTAACACTTTGTATTATTCACCAGGTTTAAAGGTGGAGGTGACGCACTGTGGAACCATGCGGAGGAAGTACCGCGTCTGCAACGTGACCCGTCGACCTGCCAGCCATCAAACGTGAGTCAGCCTCTGGGGCGGGCAAGGGAATAGGAGCCACTGCGAACAGTGTTCGAGTGAGATGAAGGCAGTGGAAACCAGAGGATGTGTTCACCGAATCACTACCAAACAAACCAGATAATGGCTGACTCATCCGACAACCATGCGCTCGATCTTAGTCATCCCTTCGTGAGGCAGCTGTGTGGCTGCAGTGTCGGGACTGAACTGCTCTCTGTGCCATGACTACAGTTTGATTATTTTTTTAAAAGGGAAATTATCACAGAAAGAGTGATTTGTCAGTTTAAGCCCGACAAAAACACATGTGGATCTAAGCTTGGTAGTTATTGCTTACTTCCCTGAGCCATTTCTTTCATCCTGAAACTGACAATAAACCAAATATCTATTTAAAAGTAACAAATAAAAAATATGTTAAGGCTTTTAGCAGTTGAATAGCTTTGCATTTGCAGAGGGATGACCTTCTGTCTGTCACTTGCACATTAAGCAAATTAATAGCAAAATAATGCGCGGGGCGCTTGACATAGCTCACATCAATTAACATTTGCATTGCTCTTGACAAAAACTCTCCTCTCTGCAGGTTCCCTCTGCAGCTGGAGAATGGGCAGACTGTAGAGCGTACTGTAGCCCAGTACTTCAGGGAGAAGTACAACCTGCAGCTCAAATATCCACATTTACCCTGTCTACAGGTGGGCCAGGAGCAAAAGCACACCTACCTGCCCCTAGAGGTGAGAGAAAAGAAGCTGCATTTCCACTCAGTAATGGGGGGGTCCGACAGTAACTATTAAATCAAGCATGATGGTCTGGTGGGCAGCTCCCAGAGCAGCTGAAGGAAAAAGCTCCGGTTTGCCCGGGGGGAAGAAAAAAGGAAAGCCTCTTATTTGCTTTTGTTTCCTTGCAGGTGTGTAATATTGTAGCTGGTCAACGGTGCATCAAGAAGCTGACAGATAATCAGACCTCCACTATGATCAAAGCCACAGCTCGCTCTGCACCTGACAGACAGGAGGAGATCAGCAGGCTGGTGAGTTCTGGAAATGCCCTCTGAATACGGCTCTCCTGTCTTCTACATGCACACGGTTTGAATATAGGAAATTACAATAAAGGGCTGTGTTTTAAGAATTGTCTGTTCAGTAGAGAAGAGGGGTGTCAAACATAAGGCCCACGGGCCAGAATTGGCCCGGCAAAGGCTCCAATCTGGCCCACTGGACAACCTTGGAAAAATGTGAAGGAAGTTCTAGATTTTGAATTTTTAGTTTTATTCTTACAGTTTACCCCCCCCCTCCCCCCACCCAACACACACTACATTATTAGTAAATAATAATATTAATATATTTTAGTGATATAAATTAACACATTTTGTATCGGTTTATCAGGCAACGGTAGCTTGAAATTTCATTCAGTAGCATATTATTAGTAATACTGCTGCATGTATTGCTGATGTATTTATGTTTACTGCTGTTAAAATTAAACCAGCAGAGCACTTCATCCCTCTGTAGTGCTTCAAGAATGCATTCCCAGTGGTTGAGTTTAGAGTAGAGGTCAAAAGTAAGAGCCTCTTTTGGGGGTCAGGGGTGACTGGGTGCATTGTTAGGCTTGTTGATACTTGGTTGCTGTACCGTTCACCTTTTGTGTTAAATTACGGGTCTTATAAGCTCCTCGACTACATTCTCATTTTATATTGTGAGCAGAGGCAGGTCTACACGTTTCTATATCACATTTGGTCACTGCAGGCTCAACAAAATGTTGTAATCTTAATAGCTTTAATGTGGAGCTACTATAGTGTCTGCAGCACGCTGTTTAGAGAGAGGATGACAAACTATGTAGTGACTCCCTCTGGCCACGGTCAGATCAGCAGCACACATGTAATACCTGCCCTCACCTTATTAAACCCTGTCTTGCTATCTGTTGACTGTGGAGCAAAATGGCCACGTTTGCCCACAGGAAATTATTGTAGATGTCACTGCGCAGGCATTTTCATTATACGCAACATTTCTCGTAACTGAAAGAACACGGTGGTTGGAATAACAGATTGAATGTTGCAGGAGCACAAAACAAGCAGATAATCTGTGTTTGTCAGAACTACATAATGGATCCTGTAATACTTTTGGTTATTGTGGTCATGGGTCCTGTTCTGGACAGAAGTGCTGACATTTGACATTTTGTGGCATGTCAGTAATTTTCATTTAGTCTTTTTTTCCTTTTGCATCAGCGTCATATGAGCACTTTAAGACTAACTTTGTTACGGCTCTACCTCACAACCAGCTCTTCGAGGTTGGTTGTGGATAGCCTAGTGTGTTTAACACTTGTTTTTATATTAACACATTGAGTATAAGGTTTAAACCCTGAGCTTTAAAGGCAATCAGATTTTGTTACTTCACACAGATCTGTGTATCCCCTTTGTTTTCAGTCATCTTTAGGCAGAGTGGTGGTGATGTGTTAATCATTTAAAGGCGAGAGAAAAATATGTCATTTTAATTGCAGATTTTTCAAAGGTTACTTTTAATTTGCAAAACCCCCCATAAGTGTGCGAGCAGCAGCAGAAACTTTGGGAGAATGATTGTCTCTATAGCACACCCTCACAGCACTGCGGTGGCTTTTAGTCATGCTGTCAAAAGTTACCTTAGCCTGACCCTGCCTAATTTTACTACTCTTCGCTTCCAGGTGCGCAGTGCCAACTATGAGGCAGACCCTTTTGTGCAGGAGTTCCAGTTCAAAGTGCGTGACGAGATGGCCCACGTGACGGGGCGAGTGCTACCCGCCCCCATGCTGCAGTACGGCGGCAGGGTGAGCACAGAGCACTTTATGGTACCCTTCCTTTAAATCACGCCCATTCTCTCTGTTTGTCTGACACGCTCTCCCCTTCTGCAGCCTTTACTCCACTTTCTCTATGGGGGAATTAACCCACTGGCTTCTGTGTGTGCTCCATGATGTCACCGTTTTTGGTCTTTGTGGTTCAGTCTCAGTAGTGCAGCCTTTTATTTCAATTTTTAGAAACGTTTAATAAGTTCACGATGTTGAGGCGGTCAATTGGACATTTTAACTTTTTAATCATTTGCAACAAAGATTATTTTGAATCCAAAAGATCACCCAATTCATGATTGGATCGCTCCTCAAGTACATTGGATACGGAGCAAAAACATTGCTAATGCTAAAGTGTAGAAGCGGCTTATTGAGCTTGAACCTCAATGTCGATTAACATCTTTCTGTTTATCTTGGAGGAAAGCACCAACTGTAATGTAATAATGAAACCTTTGACACAGAAATACACACTTTTCTAAATGTTATGCACACAGTAAATTACATCTTAAATGCTACAGTCTGCAGCACACAGTGCAAATGGCTTTGCAGTAAGATTTCAAGTTAAGATTTTAAAAGTTACATTTTACAAAAAAGCTTGTTTTTATGTAGTCTGTGTTTTGTCAAAATGTGAATTTATGTACAAGTTTGGTGTGGGTCATGGGTGCGTTTGGACTGTGTGGACTTTCCGAAACTGCGTTTACCTGTATGTGGTTGTTGAGTCTGTATGAGGAGCGTGAATGTGAGTGTTTTTCTGCATAATCGCAAATACATCGCCTGAGATTGTAGTGTTGTTTCAGAACCGCACTGTAGCCACGCCCAGCCATGGCGTGTGGGACATGAGGGGAAAGCAGTTCCACACCGGGGTAGAGATCAAGATGTGGGCCATTGCCTGCTTCGCCACACAGAGGCAGTGTCGAGAAGAAATCCTCAAGTGAGATCCTGTGCTAATATTTTTTTTTTCTCATCCCAGTGGTCTCCTTTGTAGGTTTTTTTTTTGTCTCACTGTGAATATGGTGGTGACGCTCAATCACATCACAGTGCAGTATAATTATAATATGTCATCATAAACATTTCTAAATCATGTCTTTTTTTGTCTTTCTCATTAAAATACTTAAGTTTGTTTTTGGAAAATGGTTTAAATCTTCCAAAATTAACTAAAACATCAACAGAATCAGAAGTGTGTGTGTGTGTGTGTGTGTGTGTGTGTGTATATGTGTGTATGAGCTAGCAAAAGTTAAAAGAACGGCAGCACCTTTTAACACACAAACTGACAAAACAGTGCCCCCTGGTGGTGAAAGAAAATTCAGTTAAAATTTTAAGAGGGTGATTAGAAAAAGTACCTTTGAGCTGCTTTGATGTTAGAAATGAGCCCATTTGTTTACGGGTGCCTTCCCAAACTGCAGAGCACAATCAATTCATGATTTCTGGTTCAAATAAAACCCAACTAGAAGAATCAGATCATCTGAGCAGAACGCGGATGGCCATGTTGTTTGTAGAAGAGGCCTTATGTTTCCTTTTGATGTCTTTGTTTTTACTAGTGGAACAGTACATGTTCTGTTAGACAGAAGCAGTGTTTAACTCTCAACACTAAAATCCCATTGCTGTTATTATCTAAAAGCATTTTAACACCTACTTGAGAAATTACAGTGCTTGTGGAAACATTCCAGCTGGAGTTTCAAGTACTCCGATTTGTTCAGGCTTTCAAAATGCAGTTTTGAGACACGAATTTAGGATGAACAACAACATAAATAGACATTAGTTTGATTTTGGGCATTAAGACATAATGACTAAGCTAACTGCCTTCAATATAATATTCATGTTTTGCAGAGAAAGCTTGGCACTGTTATTTTCTTTTTCCCCCTGAGCTCATCTTCAGATGCTACGTTCTTGGAGCTCTACAAAAACGGTTGTCTTCATTGTTTACTCTTTGCTTGCTTCCGTTCTTCACGTCAGGGGTTTCACAGACCAGCTGCGTAAAATCTCAAAGGATGCTGGGATGCCCATCCAAGGCCAGCCGTGTTTCTGTAAATACGCCCAGGGAGCAGACAGCGTGGAGCCCATGTTCAGACACCTGAAGAACACCTATGCCGGACTGCAGCTCATAATCGTCATCCTGCCGGGAAAAACTCCTGTCTACGGTTAGAAAACTGCTTAAAATGAGACATTATATTTGAGTCGAGAGCAGTGTTGGGTACCGACAAACAAAGTCATTTGTTACAGGTTTTGCCTACTTATAAAAAGATTTCTTTTGCATTCCACAAAATAAACACTGCAATTAAATTCCTTGCAGATGTTAGCTTTATAGATCAGGGCCCAGCTACCTTTTGATTGTGTTGCTTTTATCTCATTTCATAGTGAGGTAGCGTTAGTCTCATCTCCTCCGCTACTTTTCCAGTAACAAGACCTTTCACTTCCTGAAATTGACAGCTTAACTGAAGTAGAGGCTGGCCATTGCCGTGTCTTTATCTCCAGCATCACTCTTGCTATCAGAGAGCTGTGTATCCATCGTTTGTGTGCTGTTCTTGGCAGGCACCTATTATCAACCGAAGTTTATAGAGTTTGCATCTCGCTGTGATGTTTTTTCCTTTTCCCCTAAAAATTCAAAGTAATGCAAATAATTCTGGGAAGTGAAGGCTGTTCTCTCTAATCTTATTTGCTGTGGTACACGTGCACACTGATGCAACCGTACGATTTGATACTAGTAGGCATAAATATGTCAGTGTGTTGCTTTGGAATTTTTTTTTTTTTTTAATGGCAACAAAAGAAACAAGATAACATTTTAACAGTAAACTATGATCTGAACCCACACTTGTTGGTCTTAATATTAGTAATACTGTGACTGGATGTGGGAGTTATGAGCCCTCTTCTTTGTCTATCAATTTTTCAGTTGTAATACAGATTTGAAATCTTTGCGTGGGGTGTGTGCGTGCGTCTGCCTCTGACTTCCTGTTTTTTGCATCACTCACAGCGGAGGTAAAGCGTGTGGGAGACACTCTGTTGGGCATGGCGACTCAGTGTGTTCAGGTTAAGAACGTGGTGAAGACGTCACCGCAGACTCTGTCCAACCTCTGCCTCAAGATCAATGTGAAGCTGGGAGGGATCAACAACATCCTGGTACCTCACCAACGGTGAGCTGCGGTCTCCCTCTTATTATATGGCAGTGTTATAATGCTATATTAAGACGTCTTATTAAATAAAGTCTCACGTTAAGGGTTAGGGTGACATGACACTTGGTGTATTGTTATTTAACTACCTCAGTGTTTTTGATCCTTTTTTCTGTCTCTCGATCCACAGACCATCAGTGTTTCAACAGCCAGTTATCTTCTTGGGAGCAGATGTTACACATCCACCAGCCGGAGATGGGAAGAAGCCTTCTATTGCAGCAGTTAGTTTCTTTATGTCCCCCTACTCCAGCAGTTAAATATATAAATTGTAGTTTTTGTTTTGATAATATTCCTCTTCTCTGATGGGTGTTACAACCCCAGCTCTCACTAGGGGGCAACGTGAAAGTAGTAGTAGAAGATGTAATGGATGAAGGCAAGAGTGATAATCTTTCAGAAAGTCAAATAAAGTCTTCACAGACAATAAATCCAAACACTTAAGAGTTATTTTGGGCTTCGATCCCACTCTGTGCAGAATAAATATTTAACAGAAGACTTGCTGTAGCCCTAAACCCAAATGTTAATAAGCAGACACATTCTCTAAGTGTGAGTGATGTTGGGGGTGAAATCCTATTGGGAGAGAAAACTAAACATACAATAGTAAACACCGCTGAGTGCAAACAGAAAACTAATAAAGACATGAATCAAGTTACAGATTTAGCAAATGAATGGTCACACTTTTGTAGAATCTCAGAGACACATAAGAAGATGTTAAATTTCAGACACCCTGACTTACAGCTCAACTGATCTTTTGAGCTGTGCAAAACAATAATTTGTGCAATTGGAGAAGTGACAAGTCAAGCACAGGTACAGTGAGGGGACAGGACTGGGGAGGCGGCAGAAAGGGCTAGTGGAAGCACTGACCCTGGATCAGGGCTGAAACGTACTGATCTGCATGCAGAAAAACATTCAGTGGGTTAGTAACGCAAAGAGAGGAGGAAATGCTGACACTTCTATGAATAATGTGTCACTTTCCCTTCCACATAAAATCCATTCCTCTTTAATAATGGCTCCTCTGCTCCAAACTCTTTGTCAGGTGGTAGGTAGTATGGACGCCCACCCCAGCAGGTACTGTGCCACCGTACGAGTCCAGAGGCCCAGGCAGGAGGTCATCCAGGACCTGGCCTCTATGGTGCGGGAACTGCTGATCCAGTTCTACAAGTCAACCCGCTACAAGCCCACACGGATCATTTTCTACAGGGATGGAGTTTCAGAAGGCCAGTTCAGACAGGTATAGTCCCACTTTTTTTTTTCTTTTTTTTTTTTAAATCTTAAACTCAGGGTTTTACTAAAGATGTGAAAAAAAGACTAAACCAGGTAGAATTCTGCAGTATGTCATTTTATTGTTCAAGACGTTTATTGGCTTCTTACTGAGTTTGGGTACGTTATAATCTTTGTAGCTGAGGCATACTGGTAAAGAATATGTCTGTGTATTCCATAAATACTTTTAATCACAAATGAGTAAAGTCGGTAACAGTATTCCCAAATTTCTTAGTTGTATAACTTTTTTTGAAGTTGGGTCATATGGCATCACACACAACCAAAAATGATATTTTCATATTATTGTAATTGTCCTCTTCTTCAGGTGCTGTATTATGAGCTGCTGGCCATTCGTGAGGCCTGTATCAGCCTGGAGAAGGAGTACCAGCCAGGCATCACCTACATTGTTGTGCAAAAACGCCACCATACACGCCTCTTCTGTGCCGACCGCAACGAGAGAGTGAGTCCTCACCGCACACCAGCTCATGCTGTTGCTCTTTTAGTATGACGTTTCCGCTTAAAGTCAACATGGTGTGTTCATGTGTTCATCTGTATTTTTTTTTTTTTATGTTCTATGTTGGAACATTAACTACTGAAAATGGGCCTCTTTAATTACCTTTTTGTTGTCATTTCGGCTGTTCACCCTCCTGACTGCTGTAATTGCATTCGATTAAAGCATTAGGGCCCAGTGCAAACCAAGAGCTCTGGAGTGGCACTCAAGGCCCCGAGAGTGAGACCCAGCCAGTAACAACCTTATTTTCAGCGCTCGCACTCTTCTTACAGAGCATTAGGCTCCCTGGGGCATTAGGCTTTTAATTGGTTGTTTGGAAAGCACTTGGCGAAACCTTTGCCTGGGTCTCTCCATCAGCTAGTTCTTCTTTTTAATCATCAGAAATTTTAGTTCCCGACATCATTTAGTGCATTAAAAGCCCTGCTATATCTGCTTTTTTTTTTTTTTTTAAATGGCGAAAAAAGGGGAAAACAAGTTGAAAGTCAAAAAGCATTAGTATTGAGGGTAACTGAAATTAATTTTGCTTTTCAAGGTTGGACGTAGTGGAAACATTCCCGCTGGTACTACTGTGGATACGGACATCACGCATCCCTACGAGTTCGATTTTTACCTCTGCAGTCACGCTGGAATACAGGTCAGTCCAACCTCTTCTCCATCTCATATGTTGCTGTTTGTCTACAGTATTTCATCTCCTTCTCCTTCAAAAAAACATAAACGTCTGCACTTTTGTAGATAAGTAATAAATAGGATTCAGGAATAAACCAAACACAAGCGGTTTTAAAGTTTATGATGCAATTTAAACAAACTAACATGAAGCTTATAGCTGTGCGGTTTGTGCAGTGGAAGCACCTCAGCATAGCAAAGCACATGGGTGGACAAAGAGTGCACAGTTAAAGCAAATAAAACTTTCCTTCTCAAACGTTTTGACTATATTTGAGCTATTTAGTTTAGGGGTTTGCTAATCCAGTACCTCAGTAGCTTATCAGCCCCCCTTGCATGGCAAATCGTGCAATTATTTAACCTAAAGTATCATGTAAAAGAGCAGCAGCTGAAGCTTTGTCCAGGAAAATGTGTTATTAACAGCTTTGGTACCTAAAATTTGCTGTCTGTATATTTAAGATGGCGTGGAACCATCCCATATGTCCCTTATTTCAAAACGCGAAGATTAGACTACAGATCTGTAGACGCAGAAGCTGCTTGAGTTAGCTGATTTATACTTGCAGCATTAATGTTTTATGTATCTATTTTTTAAACACATATCTCATATAGCTAAGCACAGTTAGGTGATGTTCCTGAGTTTTCTGGGCTGTATTTCCTGTCAGCTGTGTCCTAGTTTTGTATTGACTCTTACTTAATGCTTACCTCCCTCTCAGGGCACCAGTCGGCCCTCCCACTACCATGTACTGTGGGACGACAACTGTTTTACCGCTGACGAGTTCCAGCTGCTCACCTACCAGTTGTGCCACACCTATGTGCGCTGTACCCGCTCAGTCTCCATCCCTGCGCCAGCCTACTATGCCCACCTGGTGGCCTTTCGTGCCCGCTATCATTTGGTTGACAAAGAACATGACAGGTAAGGAGAGCGTTCTCCCCATTTAAACTTGCTCTGTGAAGCTGCTAGAGTTCACATGTGCTGGATGAATTGCCCTTTTTTTGTCACTCATCTTAACGGGTCCTTTCTTGTTCTTTCTGAAGCGCTGAGGGCAGCCATGTGTCTGGTCAGAGTAACGGTCGGGACCCCCAGGCGCTGGCCAAAGCTGTTCAGATCCACCACGACACCCTGAGGACCATGTACTTCGCCTGAGCTACACCAACTCTCCCCAACCATTGCCACTCTTAACACACACACACAACCATGCACACCTGGCATGCCAGTCAAGGGATCCTCATAGGTGCAAGTCCCCGCGCCCCCCCCCCCAACATGCCTAATCAAAAACGGACCTGACACTGTGCAGAGGAAAGCAGGGAGGAGGGAGGGGAAGAGGCACCCCCACACTGGACTGAGGATGCAAAAGCTGCTTTAAAAAAAACAAACGAGAGAATCTCAGCACTATTATGCAATATTAAACCAGCCAACTAGTTTATTTTCACCCTTATTAGGCCCCCTCTCCCCTCCGGTTTTCACTACCCCGCCTATGTGTTCGTCCCCTGTTTTGTCTCCTTTACTTGTGGCCTAGTTTGTGGCTGTTCTTTTCCTTTTCTTTGGCATAGTCTTTGATAAATCTGCTTCTTTGCCTTCTTCAGTACCTCAAGTCAGTTTGAGCAGCAGCACTTTTACATTCTGTCAGTTTTTGTGTAATTTGTCTTTGATTTTTCTCCTATTTCTTTTTCTTAAGTTTAGGGGCAGAGAGAAAAAAAAAAAAGGACTCAGACTCTGGAGTTATTAAGAGGTGTCTGATGTAGTTTGAAGCATCAATTCATTGACCAGAGGTCCTCCCAGTTTGATCTTTTATTTTTCCTCTTGTTTCCTTTCTTGTTCTGTCACTTTTCGCTAGTGTGTGGGCACGACACCACCAGTTGCTTGTACAGAGCTACATGTTCTTTTGAGCACACTGCCACCTATTGGCAAAGAGGGATATTGCCCCTTAAAAGTCACAAAGAGGAGCCGTTTTGGTGGTCTCAGATCAGTTTCGGATTTATTCCTGAAAGTTAGCTGTCACATTTAAACGGAGGGCAGTTTATATTATATATCAATTTGCTGAGTTGCAGCCATCCATGGATTGTATTTAAAGTATTATTGACACTGTTATTTGAGTCTGGTTGCTATATTTCTTCTACATTATGTGAAACATTTTAAGAATCTTAATTCTTAAAGAAAAAAGAAGATTTAATCGTGTTAGCTTTTGTTTTTAAATCGCCCTGCATTCATTTCTCTCAGTGCTTTATCTTGCCTTTCCCCCCTTGTACCTAAGACGGTGGCTAAATACAGATGATGTCGATGGTTTCCTCTTGTGCAATAATCAGTCGAACGAAGGGAAGAGGATTTTTAGGGGACTTAAGCGACTCAAAAGTACAGTTTTCACATTTCATATGAAAGCGAGTGTCCTTGAAAGGAGAGAAGTTTGCCACTTGCAAGGCACTTTCATGTGTCGCTCCTCTGTGAGCTGAATGACCTGCATGTTGTATGAGTTTGCTCTCGCTGTTGGGCAAAAAGAAAGGAAGAAAAAAAAATGGTGCAGTTTTGGTGATTTTTTCGTGTTTTTACTTGAACTGAAGGACTTTGTGCGTCTCCGTGGTTTGAGAATACTTTCGGATCAGTGGGCATGATTTTAGAATTCCTGATCGTCAGCTTGCTAATGAGATTGATTTTTCTTAATTCCTAAGAATTACAAAGCTTTTCACTTGACAGCAGCAAAGTGGAGTATAAAGGCCATAAAGAGGTAGTATTCAAGTGCCTGTTGGAAGTTAAGTGTGTAATCGTCAGAAGCTGTATGAGTTGTTTCAGTGGGGTACAATGATCAAAGAGCGTACACCAACCAGACAGCGTGAAGCAAGAAAGTTTCACCCGATGCCTCTTATTCTTCTCAATAACCGTCTACTGACTTTTCTATACATCTCATTCAAATTAACCTAAGATCAATATATTTATTGTATTTGCCTGTACAGCAGTGTTAGCTGTTGGCTTTGCTTTGGAGCAGCATTCAAGCAAAGTAGGCCAAGTTGTCTTTTTGCCTAATATTCACCAGACATGGATCCAGCTGCTACAGTGTGTTTGTAGGCGATTGGGCTGGCTTCGTGGGCACAGAGTTGGCCTTCTCCCAAACTGTTTTTCTTTTTGTTTTAGATTGATTAGAACCCTAAATCTGAGTTCGGGTTTAATTCCTGCCCACGCGACCGGCCCAAAGTTGGGACTGGCTTCAGAACAAAGCCGAGGAGTCAAGTGGACGACCTTTAGTGTGAAGCGTGTATCTGGGTAACGGGTCACCACGTAGCTCCTCTAATGCTGATGACCTGAAGTTTGCTCGGGACGTGTTTTTAAAAGTTATCTGCACTAAAAGAAGCGTGTGTTTCAGGGGTGAACACAGGCGCGGTGCTACTCTGAATTAGAATTTGAAGCTGAACCTCAATGCGAGACTTTAAACGAGCAGGCGGGATATGTAGGCGAGGGGGGGAAAAAAAACTGTAAACCTCACTCACTGAAGGACGAGAAGGCTCCACTGCTGCAGTTGTTGAGGGGAGTTATAGATTTATGATTTTATTCGGGATAGATCTACTCGGAGAACTTGTGAGCGGTACAACGGCAGACGTGTGGTCCTGCCTCTGCTGTTGCATTCGACTGCCTTTCACAGGCTAGCCTTTCAGTGTGGAAGCCAGTGGGTTTGAGCCTTCATGATTTCACTAGTATCTGAAAGCCTTTTTAAAAAGCCAGATCGAAAGTATATTTGTAGATTTTAAATTATGTAATGCACACCACTTATTTTTGCTAACAGAAAAAAATGTAGTCTAATTATTAATCTTAGTAATAAATGTATCATGACAAGTAATGGTTTAAAAAAAAAAAAAAAAGTATAACAAAGTTTTATTATCGCAATAGACTGTTGACTTGTTCTTGTGTCACTGTATAACGTATAGTGTATGTGTGAACAGTGCTGGGGTTGTTGAAACTAGTTATGTGTGTTTGGACTGTCATACTGTTATTGATAGGGATGTGGACTCTAACCGCCTCTTGCTTTGATGTTTGGAAAAAAAAACTTGCAAGATGTTGAACGCTTCTTCTTCTTTTTTTTTTCTTTTTTTTCTTTTTCTTCTTCTTCTTTTGTAGATGATCAAACAAAGTTTTTCATAGAGAGGACAAAGTGTTAACATGCTATATCCCGAATGCCTTTGTTATCGCAGTTTTTCACAATTGCTAAGACTCTTTTCTTAAAAGGATCCCCTGTTTTCTCATACTGTGACTGAACAACATTCACAAAACCTCTGACTCCTCTGGAAGTATCAAACAATAACCTCAAACTGTAAACCAAACAATGTTTGTAGATCATAGACTCAGTCAAACAATGCTGAGCATTCATTACGCTACATCCAAAAATCCAGCGTTCTGGCTGTGTAGCTCCAGGAAGAAAATTCCAATAAATGCATATAAAAAGCATAACTCGAATAGAGTTTAAATACTACCCACTGTAAGTACAAGCAGTACAGGATTACACAGTGTCTGTGGATAAAGTAGGTCAAAAGGCTAAGAAACAAGCACATAACAGTACAGCGTGAGTGTAACTGAAAGTGAACATGTGATCTGTTCAGCTGTGTCGCGCCAGAGTGAAAAAGAGATTTTTGCAACTCAACCTGTTGCATGTGTATTTCTGGGAGTTCCTTTTTTCAAGACGCAAAACATTGGGAGGAGAAATCTTAGTGCGCTGATATTTAACGCAGAAAAAATGGGTCACCTGCTTAACCAGGTGAGCTATGCTGGTGCCCCAGATCCTGCTTATTTAAAGCTGAAACTCCAAATTGACGTCTAACACGGTGCGTTCGAGTGACTAAACGGGTGCAAAACATGGACCGTTTGGTTCAGAGAACAGGATTTAATGTCTTAGCAATTCAGAAAAGCTGTGAGAAATTACAAACCTATTGTAACAACAAACAGTAGACTAGGAGGGGGAAGAAAAAAAAAAGGCGATTGATATGTTGAGCTCCTGCTCTTGAATTTTCTCGGGTTTCTTTTAACTGGTGCTGATGCCTGCTCCTTATCGAGAGGAGAGTAAAAGGAATGGGCATGTGTTGTTGTTTTTTAAGTCTTGGTGATCCATTTCAAAGACACGTGTGATCAAAGAATAGAGAAACAAGGTTTAGTAGTTCTCCATTCCTTTGTGTTTGAACCCTGGGGGGGGGGATTTAGATTGGATTACAACCACCATTGCTTTCCTCAGACTGGTTTCCTTATTCGAGCCACTTCACGTGCACACAGATACAAAGACGTAAGTCTGCGACGTGGCAAAGCCTGTTATCTTATTTTAGCGCTCTTTCTTTTTTGTTCCAAACATTTACTCCCCTCGGTCTACATTCCACGGCCGTACAATCTCATCCAATCCCCCAGCAAGGTTTAAGGAAGGTTAAAGCTGAAGGACAATACTGAGGGATATAGTGTGTGTGTGTGTGTGTGTGTGCGTGTGTGGGAAGGAATCAAAGCTCATCAGTGAGAACTTGGTGTGGCAGGTTATATGGAAGTTGGACGTGTGTGTGTGTGTGTGTTTGGTGGGCTGATTGACTCACTATATCTCTGCTGTCTGTAATAGATGTTCAGGTGGTGTATAAACTACACCCTCGAGGGCAGTTGAACACATGTTTACATAGCAAATGTGTTTGCCTCGCTTACATTTGAAATGTCATCAGCTCGGCTTTGCAAATATTAGCTAGCAGAGAAATGACCTAACATGAGCGAGACCTTTTAGGGGCCTGTGGAAGCGAATGCTTAATGGGATACAACGATGTTATTCATGCAGCCGATTTTTCTTCAACACACAGCCGTGCTACACAAAAGTGGGAAGGTTTCGTTTGTCCTTCCAGTTCTGCTAGAAATGACTCGTTATATTTGACTTTAAACTAAAGGTACACTAATCTCACGACTGTTTCCTTTTAGCTCTCACTTAGGGTCGCTACGACGACTGTTTATGAGAGCTGTGAATTGGCGTCTTTAGCTGCCTGGTGAAGAAAATGTAACAAATTAACTTTAAAAGGCCGGTGCCTCAATTTTTAACTGAAGTAAAGGTGTATTTTGTCTCGAGGCTTCAATCAGTATTCCTCATTTTGGTTGCTCTATATTTGCAGTGGAAGGTAGCGAGAAAAAGTCCACAGAAAGTGCCTTTCCTCTTGATGGTGCTGTAAATTGAAAGATGAAATGTAAAAATCAAAGTCGTAGAATCTCCTTTTGAAACACACATTGCAATGCAGGAGTTGCTGCATTTCTCTCTCTCACACACACAAACACACTCACAGTAAATGGTTTTTGTTTTTTGTTTTTTTGAGATGGCAATGCAGAGTTGTTTTTCATGTATTTAAAGATTAAGCCTACATAGTAAAAGACATTATGCCAAGTAAATGGTTGTGGTTGAGCTCTTGCTTTCTAGTGCATTTTTAGTGTCTTGGACCAATGGTGTTGTTGGTACAGTGGAATGTGTGTTTGGGTGGGTTGGCGGAGCGAGGTGGTTGGGAGTGACACAGCCCAGCCCACGAATGGCAAACATAGCACAGCACTTTAGAGACTGCCACAGTCTCTGTCCCTCCAGTCCCCTTCTTCCTCCCGCCCAGGAGGAGGAGAGGATCCAGACCTCAGCGTAAACGAGGAGACGACGAAGGGATGCGCGTTACCAAACGAGGCAGTCGGTCATTAAAAGTGTGCCTCATGCTCTTGTGACTTTAATGGCTCGGTAGAGTCTGCCTGCTCTCAGGTGGCGTGTTCTTGTCAGGACTGCCACTTTTGACACTTTGTTACAGCTAGGGCTGGGTGTCACAAACGTCACTCATCAGTACCTCCTGGTTTTTTGGAATCGGAGTTTCGAAGCAGGCTAGAACTTTCTTTTTTTTTCTTTTTTCTTTTTTTTTTTGCACTGAGGGAAAGCAACATGCGTGAGGAGGCAGAAAGGTGTCTTATTTTTTTTTTTTTTAAACATGTGGTTCAGAAATGAAATGAACAGAGCCAGTGTCAGTATTGAGACTTGTCTCAAGATGCCCAGCCCTAGTAGCAGCCCCATGGCGTTCTTTCATCTTAGAGCAATGCCCTGCCATGTGTCTTGTCCCTGTCGGAGGGAATGAGTGCCCAGCAGTATCCTCGTCTTGAGCCGGTAGGGATTCGACTGAAAAACCGAGTATGGTCTGTAGTTCTGTGGGTACCTTTTCAGTCCAGGGGGTGAAATCTTTCTATTACAAGAAATCTCAAAAAACACTGCACCTCACTTACCTTGGTATGCTGCATATGTTATACTACATGAAAGAAAACTGCAAATTGCTTTTATGATATATAATGCTTGAGTAATGCCTGATTGCGATATTCTTATACGGTAACTATTTTAGATTCGAAATAAGTATAACTGTAAAAGATATTCTGTTTTGTCTTAACACTTATCCAATTTTGAAATATTGTTCTTGAGCCGACTTTTATTTTGTTGTCCTATTTAAATGTGTTGTTCTTTAAATATATATATGAAATATATATATGCGGAATATTTTATGGTGTATTTATTGAGTCCGTTCGAGCGGCTGGAGTGTCCGCATCAATCTTGCAGCGTGGCGGGGGTGGAGCCAGGAGGGAGAAGCCTTGAGCCCCTCCCCTTCCATGTTGACGCCTTATTCTCCTAGACACGCAAGCACAACAATATGGAGGGGGGTGCGGGGTGGAGGAAAGGGCGGCGGATTTTGACTTGTTCCAGGTCGACTTCCTCCTCCTTCCTTTTCCAAATATTCTTAACCCTCCCATCTTCTTTTACCACCCGTGAAGGCCAGACGCCAGCCCCCTACATGTTGCAGCTCATCTCTGACGAAGGGAACCATTTCTGAACCACACTGACTTGTGTCGAATAGCTGACTTTTCATCCCAAGCTGCTAAATTGGTACGTTAGCCATGTAAATTCCCTGAGCCAGTACAGAGCAAGTAGTAGAGTGTAAAATAAGTTTAAAGAAAAATGCGGGGGGGAAGAGGGAAGGATGTTGGAAAGGCAAAATTCATTGAATTACAGTGAAATGTTTTAGCAAAGGCGTTGCTTCTTTCCTCTTTAAATGTCTCCTGTTTTGTTTTGTTTTGTTTTTCCTTGTGCCAGAATATTTTACAGCAGGACCAGGTCTCATTCCACAGGAAAACACATGCCTCAGCCTTAAGTGCGTCCTTACGTAATAGAAATCTGTGTGACTTTTGCAATGCCTGTGCTGTGTCGGGTGGCCTACCAAGAAAACTAGCCTACGTACTTGATCTGCCCTGATATCTCCAACTGGCATACTCATCTGTTCTTGCATGTAAACCACTAACATTGCTACACAACGTAGAGCGCTCTGATGAATGAACATTGCTCTGTTTAATATGTACTGATGTCAGAACGGGAGCCAGGTCTGGGTCAAACTGCCTTTGGAAACCCTTTTCAGTATTTGGTGTTACCTGTTGAGCAGTGCCTACAGCCCGAGGGCAGTTTGGATATGTACGTATGCTCGTTAGATTTTATGCACTTGCCTGTATTTTGTAAGCTCGTTGCTCGGTTGACACAGCTCATTGTCGCTGATTGCAAATCCAAAGAAGGATCCAAAGAACAGTTTGACGCAGGCCTTACACGAGAACCAGGCGGTTCCCTACTGTGCCGGATTACAGAGACCTGTGCCTGTACAATGAACCAAGGATGAATTGTGTTGTGATGATTTTTTTTTTCTTTTTTCTTTTAATTATCTGTTGGTTGTCCCTCACCTCATCGGAGGATCAGAGACATTGACCTTTGAGTGTTGTCAATCTTCCAAAGCAAGAAAAGCCCTCTGTCCTTTTAAACCGAATGGCTTTTGGTTTATTCAATGTTTACCGTAATGTTTACTCCCATGGCTATCTGATGTTGAACCTGTTTTCATTACATTAGCATTCCAAAATGACTTCAAACCAAAAACTGCTGAAGAGATTAGGCTCCTGACGCCGTTAACCTTGTATACACTTAATGGTTTTGAAGACAGATTATTTGAGAGTGGCCAAGGATATCAAACATTTTGGGTACTCTGATTGTTCCGATGCATCGTCACTCTTGTGTCAGTCTTATTTCAAACTAAAGATCTTGAGCTCTGATACCTCTGAGTGAGGCACCAGCAAACTGACGTGTACGTTGAACCTTCACCACCAGATCATCCATGTCTCAGCCTCTGTATTTTTGCAAAAGGCTGTGTTGTACCAACAGCTGTATTCCTTTGTTTTAATTGTCTTTCTTTTGTTACCCTTTCTCTCTTATAGGTTGTTGGCCTTTTTAGTGTTGCTTTGCTTCAGTTTGAAGTGTATCTTTGACTAATACTTGCAATAAAAATGCTTTGCTTTATCTTGGTCGTCTCACTGGGAAACTTTTTTTTTTTTTTTTTTAAATGTGTAATAAGTGGAATTTCAGAAAATGCTGTGGGTAATAAAAATCACATATTGCCACCATGTGCTTTAGAAAACACCGGGCTGCTGTCGAAATGTGTAGGTCCCTCACAGCCTACACATTATATATTGTTTTATATTTTATAGAGAAGGATGAATATAATCTCCCTCCCTCAGCCAAGTTTGCTTGGGACCAGCTCATATTTTATTTCACTGGTTGAACCTGCTCTGCAGCAGCTGTACCACACCTCTCCCTCTGGGAGAGCTTTGAGGCCAATATGAGTGTGCAAATCTTTTTGCCATTCAAAAATGTGAAACTCTGAGGGGGGGGGAAATCAGCATTTTTCCTCCCCTCAGCATATGGGTTACAAAATTTTCATGACCATCTGAGGGAATAAGATGGTAGAGTGACTGAAAAATTCATAGATCTTTGCTTCTAGTTTGACCAAAGTAGAATATATGTAACAATACGAACACACCACGCCACCACCTTTTTCCCCACTGCTCCCTTTAGTGGTCGCTACAGCAGATCATCTGCCTCCATCTCCCCGTGCCCCTTACAGCCTCCTCCTGTCACACCAGTCCTTCACTACATCCATGAATCTTCTCTATAGTCTTCCTCGTTTCCTCCTGATCTGCAGCACCATCTTCAAAATCCTTTGTCTGATACAGTCGCTATCCCTCCCCTGCACATGTTCAGACCATCTCAACCTTGCCTGTCCAACTTTATCTACTGAGCTGTTTTATTCATTTCTAATCTTTTCTATTCTGGTCACTATGATTGAAATTCATAGCACCCCCAACTCTGCCACTCCAGTTTGTTTTTCTTCTCTGTCAGTGCCACAGTCTCCAGACCAAAATAACTTGTTTTTATTGAATTTAAAAAAAAACCCCCCCCCCCCCCCCCAAATATGTTAACTTTTTAAATGTGTCAATAAAAGCCAAATTCTTTGCCTTTTCTCATAAATTTTCAGTATTTTAGCAGAAGGGCAGCAGTCAGGGTTTTGTATTTAATACCAAATGAACAATCTGCTCTGAAATGAAAAACTACACACTGGTAAACAATGACAGGAATTCCAACACAAAATGAAAATAAGTAAAATCGCTGCATCTCTGCAAAAGCACGAGCATTCCGACTGGGTATATAAAGATAATTTCACTTTCACTGCACAGCACAACTTATAAACTTTGCTCTGAAATGCTGTTCCCACTAACAGGCTGAGAATTTCATGAGGATAAAAGTGAGTGCCTGAAAAACACTGTAAACAGGAAGGATTATTGACAAGCCTTCCTGATGCCTCTGCACAGCTATGGTAACGGAGCTGCTATCACTTACTCTCTCTGATATCTGTTGACGGGAACAAGCTAAAAATCTGATTGTGTGCTTCCCCTGACACAAATTATGTCTTTAAAGTTAATGTTGGTACCTGACGTTTGATCTCACGTAATTCCCAACAGGGCAGCCCTGCCTGAGCAGAGGTATAATTAACCACAGTGACTGAAAACACCTGTGTGGGAATTAAAGCTGCACCCTGCAAACTCACTGAAATGCATTCCTTCATGCAGACGGTTTATTTTGTTTTATTTGATTTATTTATGCATGCATTTATGGCACCAGCCTTGGAACTTCAGTAATCTGCACATGCAACCCTTTTTGCATTTACTGAGATTTTCCCTGTTAGCTGCAAATGATGAGCTTGTTGGTTTAATACTTTTGGTGGGGGGAAAAAAAATCCCAATCAAGTTTTTATTTTTATTTTTCCATTTTACTTTGTTCTGATGTCAAAAAGTCTGCATTAATTTAGAGTAACACTGAGCTCTTGTAACATTAACTATGTTTTTTTTTTTTACTGCACATTTTCTTTTATGACAGCAAGAATTTCATTTATTTGTTTGATTGGTATTTGAGAAGTTGTCATTTATACCCATCCTAAACTACATAACAAATTTATTATCATATCTTTTGTTTCTTCACATTTAAAACAATAAAAAAAAACTGTTGGAAGAAACTGGGGAAGCATTAAGCTACAGCAGCCTGATGACAGAACAACAGTAAAACAGAAAATGATCATCTCTGAGCCGCAACATCATTAAAAACATGGCGAGATGGATTCTCTGCAAGAAATCAGGCGCTCTGCAGGGTGGGACTAAACACTTATTATGCTCACATCCTAACTGTCAGTCCCTGTGCGCCCAACTATATCAAATCGACAAAATGATGGTGTTAATTTCCGTATATCATTTAAATAAGGCAGAGCCGCCGTTTAGTCAAACAGACGCCCCTCTGCGGGCCTAAATGCAGCTGTCACACTTTTTCTCCGCCTGAGAGAAAACACATTCATCTCTCATGATGTTACAGCAGGACTGTGACAAAACCAACTGTTAAAGGCTTAATTGACACTAAATGCCAACCAGAAAATCCTGCTGTATTTTTTTTTAGTCAATCGGTGATCCCTGTGTTCCGTATCAGGCATCTGACAAATTCGATTTAGGGTTAAACTTAACCTGAGTGTTAAAAAATGGTCACAACAGTTTGTTTTCTGACCACATGGAAGCAGCAGAACAAGCCAAAAATTGACAAAAAAAGCAGATAAAGGATATTGTGAACATGTTTGCCAATAATTACAATGCATCATCATTTGAGTTATGGATCTGGCTACCTTAGCTTCCTTAATTTAAATTTATGTGACAGTGGATTGTAACTTCGATCCACAGAATGCTTCACACACCTGAACTTTTGCAAGTCCAGCAAAAAATATGGTAAAAAAATAAAAAGGAGAAGAAGAAGAGAGGATCAGAATGACACAACTGACATCCACGAGATAATGGAAACATCTCGGAGGATGTTGAATAAGTTACAGTCCGGGATAAACTGATTTGTGGAGGTTTGTGGAGGGGATGGAATTTCTCCTCTGATTGAGTTAGTGTAGCACTGAACTCCTTATGCTCCACGATTTTTCACCAGCCTCTTGCTGACTTTGTAATTTCTCATAAATGATGGGCAGGTAGTGGAATTTTACAGCTATCTCTGAGAACAACATACTGTAAACCTGATAGCAGTGTATGAATTTTGTACGTGTGTTAGACATCTTGTAGTGCAGTCACTTTTTCTTCCAACAATCCAGAAACTGCAGATTTAGCAATCTAGATTTAGCAGTTTCACTAAACGGCAGTCGTGCTCTTTATCAAGTGAAATACTGATTGATTTTGCACTAGAAACAGCTCCTGACAAGCTTACTTTTGCAGGTTTTTTGATAGAGTTTGTCCATTTTAACCTAAAAATAGGATAACTGAGGCACTGTCACCCAAAAAGATATTTTGGATGACAAAAAAAAACAGTATTTTAGATTCTTACAGGTTATAATTCTTACATTTTTGACTGTGCAGAGCCAACTCCTGATGCGCCAGCAATTTAGCACTTGATTAGAAAGTGAGAACTATCAAATAAGCTCCATAACAGATTCTAATGAAAAGAAATACCAACTGAAATCAGATGTCAGTTTTGATAAAGCCCTTGATATAAATTAGTTTACAGGGAAATTAAATGCAGAAACAGTCTGACTGAACCACCCTGGAGCTGCACTGATGCTCACTGAATAACTGAATAAGATTTACACTCTTCTTTTACAATATATCGCTTTCATCTTTCTTATCATTAACGATTGTTTTGACTAAAAACTTTGGAATAAATCTTTTTTTTTTTTGTTGCCCTTTGCTGGCATTTCGCTCGTCTGATATTCTTGTTTTTCTAGTTTGCGTCTTTCTGTCTTCACACCAGGTTTCCTTAATCACCTATCAGTGATTAGATGCTGTTCGTAACACCTTGACCCAGCAGCTAAAAAAGAAAGAAAAACAAGGTTTTGTTAGAAGTGTATTGTTTTCTTTTTAAAAGAAGCAAGCCTGCTGATGTGCTTGCTTGGTAAAAAATGATGTAGAACATGGTGTGCCACAAAGGACACAGAAAAGAAAAAATGGGCAGTGTATACAAACCCTCTCCAGTGTGATGTTTTGTCTAAAAACAGTGAAATGAATTGTGGCCTAACACTTAAATGTAACACAAATGTTTTTGTCTGAGGAATGAGTGTCACTAATATTCCTTTTTGTTCATTTAAAACACACATCGTTGGTCTTCTTCAGGGCAGCGACTGTATGAGGAAATACGATCCAATACCTCGAGGATCCAGTCTCAATTGCAGATGGGACTTTACTAATCATGTCTGTCCATCTTCTTGTTTTGCATTCATCACCAGCTTGAATAGAATCTACCCTGCAGTTCCACCTCTCACCAGAAGTGGGAACAGTTCACCAAGGAAAATTCTGGTTGGCTGAGAAACAGATGGAGAGACGTGTTCACTGCCAGGGCTCATGCAGAGTGTACAAAAAGGATGTGAAGGTGGTGTCTGTATTTGTTCGAGGTCAGACACTTGAAGGAAACCGGGGCGAGGGCTGAACCAGAAACAAAAAAGAATACACAAGGATGTGCAGACATGTGGCTAAGACCCATATTTACCATGATTTGTAAAGTTCTTCCTCTTTCTTTTTTTTAAATATCACATCATGTTGACATCTATTTTTCAGCGCTGTATTTTGAGTGTTCATTTTACCTCTAACCTCCCTCAGTGCTTCTGTTAGGAGTGTGTACGATGTGCAGGGAAAAACCATTTGACTCCCAGGCCACACACCAATATCTCCTGCCTCACAAATGACAAACGACCTGGTAGCGCAGGGAATTATCAGAAGTCAGCCTGTGAAAGAGAATCAACAAACTGCAGAAGGCCATCCCAGCATGAGATTTGGCATCTGCGCTGTCAGCAGCAAATATTGATTTAATAATACTGCTTTACTATCTTTGAGTATGCAAATTGACTGTCTGCCCAGAAACCTTTCTTAATAGATTTTGGAAAGGGAATAAGTAATGTAGATCAATTTTTATGCACTTTGATTCACTGGACATCTCTTTTTAAATTGGAGCCAAAATGATAATTGGGAAAATGCATTTATTCGCTCTGAGCTGGAAGACAGATCTATACCACTCTTCTGTTTGTTTACAACCAGCAGCTGGTGGTTTTCAGTTCAAATGAGGCAATTTTTATTTTTGTACTTAGCTGTGTGAGTTGTTATTTTTTCCGCTACTTTTTGTAAATTTTAATTATTTCTGCCTACAAAAAGTAAGGCTATCACTGCGAATCTGCCTTTCACCTTCCCTGATTAGAATGGTTGACACTAACTTGCAGTGACGGTCAAGGCCCAATGTCATTTTCTCTTCAGTGGAAAAATAATCTGCTGAAAACCTTAAATGCATTTTTATCTAATGCGCTGTCCTGTAATCAGGTTATGGTAGAATTTAACTTCATTTTCAAGGGCAAATTGACAGAAAGACGCATGCAAAGCCTAATGAAGTCTGCCGACCCACCTACCAGGACCTATTAAGCTGACTAAAGAACTCATATCTTTCTTAATCACTTTATAAAAATATTTAAAAAGTGCAAGCTTTTCAATGAGTTCTGCGCAGCTTCCCTTGTTCTCTCGATTCATATTTACTTTGCAGATATGACAGTGCTATCAGTCTTCTTATCTAATACTCAGCAAGACATCAAATAAGCCTCTTTCCCTAAAATGTCAAACTGATGTTTAAAAGGTTAAGAAGCTCATAGCATGCCTAGATTATAAATCTAGGCATTGGCCCTTCACTGGCTGGTCCCATCTATAAACATGAATGTGCAGAATTATGGGAAAAAGTAAGAGTAACTCGGCTGGAATTACAGATGTTTATTAACTGGGATCAACAGAGGAAACTGGTGTTTGCATGTGTCATGATGAATCTGTGCACTCAGCCGTCAAGGATTAGTTGTTTCGACTGAATCAATTCTGTGAATAATGACCACTTAAAACTTTCTTTCCAACCCTAATTTAATTATTTGCAATGTGTCATTGGTCTGTATAGGTTGTCAGTCATCCACATTATGGCTTAAAAAGAAGGCAGCTGGATTGTTTCATCTCTAACCCAAGAGGCTTCTTCAGCTTTAAAACTGGAGAGTGCCAGCTTTGGAAGTGGCCTAATGGCTCGTTGACCCATTATTGATTACGTGATTACGTGAGCGATTAAGGGTCACACGAGCCCAGGGTTTGTGGGTCATTATCATCACAGCGACTGAGGTTTGAATGATCTGTGCAGACAGGTGGACCACAGATGCACAGCACCCAACGCTCAACGGGACAAGAAAGGACACGCTTGATGGTTTTGCTTTTTATATGTCCCTTCCTTTTCTCCTCTTTCAACTCCTCCATTCCTATGCCCTCACTATAATATGTGCAGTTTGGAGGGATTATGTGACAAATTAACGGACTATCGAAGAAATTGCACTTAAGTTTTGGTGAGTGTAATTCTAGTGTTTTATTCATCACTAATGTGCAGATATGTGTGCCTGTTTGATGCTGTATCGCAGCCTCGATAAAGAAGCTTGAAAATTTTGTCAATTCTTCCTCCACCAAAAGCCAGCATGACGGCAGCCAAAATGTTAGAACAGAAGCAATTTTATTATAGTTATTTTACAGTTTTCCATTGGTGATATTTTTTGTTTCCTCAACAAATTCCATAAAACTGTGAGTCTGTTTCTGTAGCGTCCTTTTAGATGTGCCTATTTTTGTCTCTTCCCTCTTACTGAAAAGTTTCATCATCACTAAGAGGAAATCTGAAAATGGATTACTAATTTATACCTTCAGTAACAAAAAAAGAAACACCCATTGACCCATTTTCAGCCACATTTATCAGATGACCTTGTGTGATGGACAAATACAGGAGCAGATTTCATCACTGAAGTAAGTGGGTCCAGTTGTTTGGAGGATTATGGCTATAGAGGCAGTAAATTGATAAATTTATGATTCACTTTTTAGACAACATTAAACTGTATGATACATAAAGATTTATCTCCCAGGGTAACTTTTCTTTTTCCTTCCTTTTTAAACCTTTCCATTACCTTTGGATCTATGCAACCTTGAGGATGTCTTGTAACACATTCACTTTTTGTACATCCAGCTTCAGCTTTGTAACATTCAGGTTCTCTACTTGATGATGAATGTGCCTCTCCTGCACCTCCATCTTCTCTGTAGTCTAGCGGGAGGGACACGAATGCAAGGTAGCACAGGGTAGGCTAACAGTACAATGGAAGTAGTGCTAATGAGTTAGTGACAGACGGGATTTTAGCACAAATCTGAATGAGAGAGCTATTTGAGAAATGTTATTCCTCCGTTTTGTGCACTTATATACACTCAGTGCTCCTCAGATGCATTCTCTGCACACAGGCCAGTCCAGTCTATTTATGTAGACTTCATACATTGGGTACATTTGCATTTCGCAGACTCTTGTGAAGCTTGCATTTCGGTTTCATGCAGCATGGCATATTAAGAAAGCAGGTGCACACTGTCTGACTTCAGCAGTGTGATTTGTATTCTACACTCGTAACTCCGGTTTTCTTTCCATTTTCATAATATGTCATCATTATCTTTTCTACCTCTGGATATGGCTTTAGGGAGCTGGAAGCTCTAATAGCTAATATCCCTGTTTAAATTTAGGATTTAGCAATACAGAGGACTTTTGTAGAAAATTGAATGACTTTTCTTTGATATTTTTGAAATATTCAGGGCATAGAAAGCAGAAACTCTTTGGCTAACAGTCCCAGAGGCACACCGAAACTTTCATGTTGATGTTCTATTGCGTTTTTTTTCCTCCCACACCCGATAAAACTTGTCCTCCTCTTCACCTCTGGCTCTCTGGTTCCTTTTCCTTCAGTGTGACTCACTGTACTGCACGGCAAAAACATTGCTGGAGGTTAGAGGATTTTAGTGTGATGGGTGTACCGTGAAAGTGATTATGTGTCCACAGTGTTATTTTGCACACACAATCAGCTTTCTGGATGAACACCAAGAACACTTCATTCAGCCAGAGGAAGAAAAACAAAAACAAAACTGAACCTAACAGGAATCCCAGAGGATAAATTTACTCTCCTAATCACACAAGTTGAACTCATAGTGGGCTGGGACCTCCACTGGACTGAATGCACTGATTCAACCTGTGTTCACTACCTAAAACAAACAATCCAGAGGTTTCAAGTTGTCTCTTGTTAGACAATCTCATATGTACTCATCAGGCTTTTATGTTATTACTATTTTACACTTTTATCATCCGTTTCTTTACATGACGTCTTCTTCACGGGGTGGCTGTAGCTCAGGTGGCAGAGCAGGTCAGCCACTAATCAGAAGGTCGGTGGTTCGATCCCAGGCTGCATCCTGGCTGCATGCCAAATATCCTTGGGCAAGATACTAACCCCATGTTTGCCTACTGGTGGTGGTCAGAGGGCCCGGTGGCGCCAGTGTCCGGCAGCCTCGCCTCTGTCAGTGTGCCCCAGGGCAGCTGTGGCTACAATGTAGCTTGCCGTGAATGTGTGTGTGAATGACTGAATGTAGTGTGAAGTGCTTTGGGGTCCTTAGGGACTAGAAAAGCGCTATACAAATGCAGGCCATTTACCATTCATGACTTCTTTTCTGTTCCCCTCACCCCAAATCAGTCATGGCAGATGGTTGCCCCTCCCTGAGGCTGGTTCTGCTAGACGTATCTGTTAAAGTGGAGTTTTTCCTTTCCACTGTCACCAAGTGCTAGCTTATAGCAGGCTGTCTGATTGTTGAGTTTTTCCCTCTAATGTTGCAGGTTCTTCATCTCGCAATATAAAGCGCTTTGAGGTTACTGTTGATGAGAATTGGTGTTATATAAATAAAACTGAATTTGAGTGAATTTTGCTTCTTGGTTACTTTAATAATAAATTTGTGCATAAATATGTGTTTGGTTTAATAAAGGCCATCCATCCATCCTCTTAACCACTTATCCTGTTAACCCGTAGGCTTGCAGGGGGACTACGTTACTGGTTAACCAAACATGTCTTTGAACTGTGGTGGAAAGTGACAGTACCTGAAACAAATGGATGAGTCACATGGAAGAAGTACACCTCTACCTTTATCACACCTTCAAACACATAAAGGTATAATCAGTGCCCCAGATTATGTTCTGCTGATTAGAATATCCTTAAGTAGTGACAGGTGGGACCTGTTTAATTTAAACCTCACACACTGATATGGTGTTCTTTTTGTTGTTAAAATGTGTAGAGCGTGATCATGTCATGATATGGAAAGCTCTTCCCTTAGCCTCTTAAAAAAGCTTGTAGATGGCTATAAGCTTGGCAGTGATTTTTGAAAAAATTAATTTAGGAAAATCATCTACAGCTGGCATAGATTTCAAACCACAGCCGGTTTGTCCAGTCACGGCTACCTGAGCAATTTCAGCCCCCAATTTCAGTTGTAACAAAAAAACGAAACGTGATTTTCATCTCAGGATCTGCAGGTAACTCTTGAAACTGCTGGCATCATTGTAGGTATTTAAAATCAAAAAATGATTGTACAAATCTGACCTGTATGGGAGGTGTGCCAAGCAAAAGATAAACTGCAGTTTGACAGTGAGAAAAGACCAGGCCTTCTGGAATAATGTGCTCTGGACAGACAAATCAAAGATAAGAGTTGTTTGGTGCAGACCAAAGACAGCCTCTCAGGATAAGAACCACGAGGCATCTATGAAGTATGTTCCGGAGTTGCTTTGCTGCCTCGGGGACTGGGCAGCTCATGGTCATTGATTCAGCTCTAAATTCTACATCATATTAAATTGCACTTGAATAAAATGTTAGCCCATTTGCCTGAAAAATTAAGCAGCAAGTAGGTATTTTGGAAGGATAATGATCCAAAGCACACTAGCAACTCCACCAGGGAATGACTCAAAACGAGGAAATGGAAGGATGTGAAAACCACAAAAACTGCATGAAAACTCTTAAAGATCTTGCCTCTAAAGGAATTTTGCATGGAAGGCGGGTAAAATTTTCACTAAGCTGATGTCAGAGTCTGGATAATTATGCAAAGAAACCTGCCAGAATGTATTTTAGCTAAAGGGGGTAAAAGTAGCTTCTGGTGCCAAGGGCTTACTCTCTTATTCCACAGTAGAACATCACATGGATTGAAAAAGATATTTTTGTCTCTCGGTGTTATTCAAGTAGAGTTTTTACTAAGTATCAAAGAGGATCAAATGTTTGCTTCTCCAAGTATTTCAAACAAACCAAATACTATTTTTCCTCAAATTAATAATCACATGACCATCAGTGATTACAGTTTTCATTCACAGAGTTGTTTGTTTTTTCATAAAGACGCCAAATCCTGCTTTCAAACTTTATTGGAAGGCTGATAAGCTTGTCGCATATCTGTGAAAATACATGTTTGAAGGAAATAAAATAACAAAAAGCACCGTTAATTTAAACAATCTTTGTGATCTGTTGATTTCCATCACATTACGTAGAGGGATTTCAGCATAAAGGCAATATTTTACAGCATATTTTAAGCATACAGCTTAGTTAACACAAGGTTACAAAATGAATGCTTATTGAACAGTTTCAGGTAAAGCCCAGCGGGAGGCAGTATAAGGCTGGCCCTTCAATCCACCTATCCACTTTTTTTATATATATTTTTTTTATCTGTCCAGAAGCGGTTCGCTCTTCACATTGTTTCAGTGCAGTGAAAGGTCATAGTGCTCACAGGACAGGAAGGCCCTCCCCCATAGGCCAGTGCTCTTCCTGTTCTCCTCTCTGAGACACCTGAGCAGCATAATGTGGCTCAGGCACTTTTTTTTAGATGGTGTCATCTAAATGCTCGTGCAGCCTTTCTCCTCTGTTATTGTGCCTGTACCTCCTGAAAAGAAACCAAGTGTTCAATTTAGTGCAGCAACAGTGACAAACTGTACACTGGCTCGAGTAAAAATGACAATTGTTTTGTCAGCAGACGCAGGCTGGCCTGTCACGCCTCATGTTTTCACAGTATTGTGTGGGAGGACACCGTGTCACATTTTGCTGTTTCATTCTGTACCATCACCTTTTTTTTTTTTTTTCCTTGTCGTTTTCTAAAGCATCCACTACCAGTGTCTTATTTTCTCGCTGCATATGGCTTTATCAACTGAGCATAGCCTGAAATGAGATTTGTGCTTGTGTCTGCCAGTGACTGTGTGCTTTACCGTACCTCCACAGCAGAAATGCGAGCACTCCTCCTAAACTCAGCAGGAGCAGGAGACAGACTACAGCTGCCGTCGCACTTCTGTTCTCGGTCTCACAAGGTGCTGTCAACCAGGAAAAAACAGCCGATGAGAGGAGGAACAAAGAAAAACAAACCCAAAGAAACAGAAAAAAAAACAGAGGTCGTCTGGCATGGCTGTTCTTAGAGGGCAAAGAGGTCCCCTGCAACAACTCCACACAGTCACTAAACTGACTGGAACACCAAGGGATAACAGGAGGCATCCTAAAATACCCTGACTGTCGCTGGATCATCATGCCTCTTGGCAGATACGAGGAATTGCATTTGTCTTGCCTGTTTAGCAGCAGTGGTAGCGGCAGTGGCAGTAGTGTTGGTAGTGATTTATTGATTGCACTCTGGAAAATCCTTTATCACTGAAACACCACCGGTGATACAATACACAGAACAGAACAGAAGCGCAATCAGGACACAGCTTCAATAGACACAATGCATTATGTACAGGAGTCTGATTCCTGAATATCCATGACACAGCATGGTGGGCTTTAAATAAAGTGTTAACAGGCGTAACCACCTTTACATCGAACCGCCTGCTCCAGCCAAATGGGGATCAAGCATTGAGTTTTTTAATCTCATGTGGAGAAATGTGGATTTAGATCCCAAGTAAATGCAGTATGACCATGAAAAAAGTGCTGCATTACAAGTCAAAGATAACTCTGACTTAAGTCCACGAGAGTATATTTTTATATATAAACACAAAAAGTAAAGAAATTTGTATTTGGTAGATTATTTCTTGCCAATAAATCGTACACCTTGAAAAACCTGCTTATTTAAATGAAGCCATGTTTGTAAGGAAAATGCGTTTGTGGGTTGAGCAGCAGAGTTGAGTATGTGGGCTGTGTCCATTAAAAACTTTCCAATTTTTCTCTTGCCAATCACAAACAGCTCTGACAAGTTTTTCATGGCCACAACCCACATACTCAACTCTGCTGCTCAACTCTGCTGCTCAACCCACAAACGCATTTTCCTTACAAACGTGATGCCATTTAAGGGAAAGATTTGTTGCCAAGGAGCACTGTTACAAAAAAAAAAAAAAAAAAATCAACCAAACACAAACCTCCTTAATTTTGTGCAAAGTTTATCAAAATTATTGATAAAATCGGAGTATTACAAGCATTTTGTTGACACATAAAAAATCAAGTGGTCTACTGCAACGTGAGTCTATTGCATGATGCATTATAGATCATGTAGCATTTGTAATATCTTAAAAAATGTTTTATTCACACATATGCACAGCTTGGTACTAGCCATAGATGATTTTCAATTGCTTTATGATAAATTTATGCATGTCTCAATTTGCAAGATAACAAGACAGCGATCAAATTAATGTAGAGGATTTTTAAGAGAAATGTTCAAGTAAATAGATCCACCTCAAAATTGTAAAACCAACTCCAAAAAAAAGTTTATAATTAGAATATTTTAAGAGTTCAAAAACCCAATGTTCACACTCCTTTTTAGACCTCTTATGGTCTCCTTTATTCATTTAGCTGCTAAATGCTGGATCACATTTTTCAGCTTCACTCTGACTTTGTGTGTCTGTCTTTTGATGTCAGACAGGAAGAGTTCAGTGTTTTTTATGACAACAACAGCTGGAAATTAAGTCAAGAACAGTGACAGTGAACCACAAAAGCCAAGCTAAAAACATAACCCACAGACCCAAGACGTGATAATTATCAGTGGCTTCATCCCTGTGGGGGGGATATTTCCCTTTACACTTCCACTGTTAATGTCATAAGTGTTGATTAAAAAAGGTAAAGCAGTACCTGCAGTGTAGGTGGCGGAACTATGGCCGAGCTTGTTGCTAACAATGCAGGTGAAGTGGCCACAGAGTGGAGAAATGGTAATAATTAATATTGTTCCATTGTTGGAGACTTTGCCCACCGCCTTGGTGATGTCGGCACTCTCGTGGCGCCAGCTGAATCTGGGATCAGTCCCCCAGGCCTCGGTACAAACAAGCAAGGAGTGGGACACGTTAATGCTGACGGAGACGTGGTGGACTGCCTCTGGAAAGACAGACAAACAGAGGTGAAATATGGAAATATGTGACAAGTATGTAGGTAAAGAACGCAGCGCTGGATGGAAACAAGAGGATATATGAAGTGCTCAGCCGTGGGCATCTATCTGTTATAGAATAAGAATAATGGCACACGGCTGTCCAAGAGGGTCTCAGACAAAGAATCATGAGAGACATTTAATGCTGTCAGGAGAAACTGGCTCAGTTTCAGAGACAATAATGAGATCAGAGAGAGAGGCATAATGTTGGAGAATGGGATGATGGAAAACCCTGGAAGCCGAGAGAGCAGATGTAGAGAAGAGTGGAGCTGATGAATTGATACTGTTAGGGCAGACAAATGAGAGTAAAAGCACAGAAGCTACGGGGAGACTGGATTCGTCTAGAGGGACAAACGCAAAAAGAAAGACCGGGAAAGTGGAGCCTGTAGGCAAATTTAATTCCAAGTGTTACATTATTAAATGAGACATCTACCAACAGAAGAAAACAATGCTTTCTACTGTGAAATTAAAGCACATTCGTTATACTGTTGGTAATTATTGGAGTTAACACTTGAAAGGCCACAACAGAGTCAGCTGGAGAGTATTTGATGTATTCTTTCTTTCATATAATTACTCAGAGAGATTCATGTAAAGAGGCCAAGTTTTACATAAACTGCCGCAGCAACATATTCAAATAATTTAAAGCAAACAACATTTATATTCATATTTCGACTAACTGTTGGTATATTCTCCGGCAGCCCCACTATGTAGTAGGACCTTTTGTTCCCACGTCTTTACACTGGGACGTCTTAATGTTAATTTACTGCTGCTTTAGCATTTACTGCTGCCGTATTGAACCTTTAAACGAGTACCAGGTGGAGGTATGACGCATGGATGTAATTACACCATAATTTTACAATCAGTGGATATAACCATCAAAAAGCTTCTAACTTAATGATTTATACTTAAAAATTCATACCCTCTCATGAGTCTCTTGTCTCTTGTTAAAGGCAAAATAATGGATTACACAGTAAAAAATGTACAGTAGCTTGGTGGTAATATTCTTTCCTCAAAGACATCAGTGTTTAATTATCTGCATTCATTACTGTGCAAAAACTTTTGTTGTGTATCATCTAGAATTAGGACTGTTGTTAATGAATATTTATTATGAGATAATCCATACACTTCTTTTTGTAGTTAACCTATTGCCTGTTATTTATAATGTTTCATTGTGCCCACCATTGTTGTCCTCAAGCTGAACAAAACCAAAGCAAGATATTTTATTTGGGCAACCCAACATGTTAGATGGGTATCTCTCTGCTAATTGGTCTTATAGCTTCTTACCACTTTGACAGTGCTTCAAAATTTGATAAACAGGTGAGCTCTGTTGCTAAACTAAGGGATCTCAGTAAGGTGAAGGCCTCTCCCGCTGCATGACTTTGAGAGAGTAATTCACACTTTTATTACCTCTCTTGTTTAAACTATTGCAATTCTTTATATGTTGACTTTGACCAGTCGTTTCATCATCGCCTCTGGGATGTGCAAAATGCAGAAGTTTGCCTTTTGACAGAACAGAAATGACGTGATCACCTATATTCTTGTTACACTTGCTCCTTACACAGACTTCGAGATCCAATTAAAATTTTTATTACATGTTTCTGAGTCTCAGTCATTTAGCACCACCTTGCTTAACTGAACTTTTGCAACCCTACAATCCTGCCAGAGCACTGACGTCTACGAACCAACTGCTTTAAGATGTTTCAGATTCAAGCTTAATAGCAGAGGTGATCGAGCCTTTTTAGTGGTGGCTCCTCATCTTTTGATCAACTTAGCTTACCAGCCTCTCAATCCTTTTAAAATGCTGTTAAAAACCTACTTTTTCTAACTTGCTTTAGGTCTAATTGAACAGGATACCTCGGCTTTTATTATTCAAAATTGTTTTTACTCAGTTTGAACTTGTGACGCTCTCCACTTTAGAGGATGTGGTTCGCCATATTAAGCCCACAGGTTCCCCTCGGGATCCTTTTCCTCCACAATTTTTTAAAGACATTTTTCCTAGTATAGGGCAGTATGTCTTTGAAATTATTAACAGCAGTCTGTCTTCTGGTGTGGTTCCTGCAAATTTCAAACATGCAGTAGTGCAGCTACTGCTTAAGAAACCTGGCCTTGATCACAGTTTTAGCGAACTATAGGCCTATTTCCAAGCTGCCTTTACTTTCCAAGGTTTTAGAGAAAATCGTTTTTAGTCAACTGAAAGATTTTCTAGATGATAATGGCATCTTTGAGGTTTTTCAGTCAGGTTTTAAAACACTTCATAGCACAGAATCTGCATTATTAAGGGTTTTTAATGACATCCTTCTGGCATGTGATTCTGGTAACCATGTTGTCCTTGTCTTGCTTGACCTAACTGCTGCTTTTGACACCGTAGACCACAATATTCTAATTTCTCGATTAAGTGATGTAGTAGGTATTGGTGGCACTGCACTCAATTGGTTTAAGTCTTCTTTGTCAGATCGAACTTTCTCTGTCAGCCTTCTCGGTTCATCTTCTGCTCCTCTGTCATGCGGTGTCCCACAGGGCTCAATTTTAGGGCCACTACTGTTTTTACTGTATTTATTGCCTCTGGCTTCTATCCTTAGAAGGCATGGGATCGCATTTCATTGTTATGCCAAAGACTGCCAAATTTATTTGCCACTGAAGCAGAAGGGTGGCATCTCCATAAAACCTCTCATGACATGTCTAGATTACATTAGAGCTTGGTTGGCTCTAAACTTTTTAAATTTTAATGAAAAGAAAACAGAGTTGTTGGTGTTTGGACCCAGTGGTCCCTGTGAGTCCTCCTCTGTAGATTTGGGACCTCTGGAAGTTTATTTTAAACCTGTTGTTACTGACCTTGGTTTTAAGTTGGACAGTGATTTTAAATTGGACAACCAAATCAGAGCAGTGGTGAAGTCCAGTTTTTATCATTTAAGGCGACTGGCAAGAGTAAAATCTTTTCTTTCGAGGCAGCACCTTGAAACAGTGATCCATGCTTTTATTTCTTCCCGCCTGGACTACTGTAACGCACTTTATGTGGGGGTCAGACAGTCGTTGCTCTCACGTCTGCAGCTGGTTCAAAATGCTGCTGCACGACTCCTAACAGGAACTCGTAAAAGAATGCATATAACCCCTGTCCTGGCCTCACTACACTGGCTGCCTGTGTCTTTTAGAGTTTTGAAATTCTTATGTTTATTTTTAAATGCTTCACAGTCTTGCCCCGCCTTGCCTCTCTGAGCTTTTTCATCTCCACACACCCTGTTGGTCTCTCAGGTCAGCTGACCAGCTGCTCCTGGAGGTACCGAGATTGGTAGGAAGTCAACTTGAACCTGAAGTTTTATTTATAAGCTTCCAAATGACAACATCAGACACTTTAAGGTGCTTAATATTGTAAGGTAAAGACTCTACATTAATAGAGAGGAAACCCCAACAACTAAACGCCCCCCTTTTAGCAAGCACTTGGCGACAGTGGGAAGGAAAAACTCCCTTCTAACAGGAAGAAACTTCCGTCAGAACCAGAGTCAGTGAGGGGTTACGCTACAACCTTTAAATGCTCATAATTTGAAATAAATGATCAACTATAGTAAATATAGAGCATCTTAACACTCGAGCAGTTGTGTATCCCTGCACTGTACCAGCAGTGTCTTTAAATTTCTCCATAACGTCTGTTACAACAAGCCTTTGTGGAGTGGGGACCTGGATAAATGGACAGCATACTAAAGTGACTGTGCACATATTTTACTAACAAAAGGGGATTTATCTAAGGCTGTCACAATAAATCCTCTCACGTGCCGGTCGTCATACTGTACCGTATTCCCTGACGATGCATTGTGTGGAGGTGTTGGCTCCTTGGCGATCTGTCACAGTCAGACTGTACACGCCGCTGTCCGCTGTGGTGTATCCATTAATCTGGAGTGTCGTCTCCTGCTGCTCGGTGCTCACACGGACATTTGGCCTTGTACCAGCACACTTGAGACTCCTGCCAGAGCACGTGGCCAGTGTCACTCTCTCAATATTAAACCCCGTTTCCGGCTCGTGTTCCCAGGTTATTGTGGAGATGTCTTCCAGGTGACCACGCTTGATCTGGGCTTTCAGATCCAGGCTGGATCCGGGGATTACATACACCGGCTCTTCATTGAGGATGTGCACTGACATACAATGGAGCCCACATGGCACTGAGAACAAAGATCGCACTGTTCTTTATTACATCGTCTTCTGTGCCTCTTTCACTTACGTGACTCATACAGTGCATATTTCTACTGCGCTGGCCATGAAGACCTGCAGTATTCAATCAGACTTTTGCCTCTGGAGTGTTTGCATTGTACGAACAAAATAGAAAGCTAATGAAACAAACAATAACATAATATGTCATTGCCATCCTTCTCTGTATGCGCTTTATGAATATACTATAGCTAGTTGCTGTCAAATAATGTCAAGTTATGATTTATAATGCATGACAGCCATGCCTAATGTGATATCCATCAAACCACATCAATATCCTAAAATCTGTGTCAAAGCCTGGTAAGCCTGTGTGCATTTACCATGAGAGCTATTAATCATGTGTCTTAACTTGAAAGGCAAAGGATGGGGGAAACGTAAATAATGCAAGTGCGGTCATTAACGCAAGAGGCACTTTTGCGTAACAGTGCAACGTCTTAGGGTTGTTTTGATCATTCTTTGTGTGGCTGAGGAACAGAAACTGTGCCACTGTCTCTGCTTGAACAAAGAAAAAAGGGCAAAGCAACATAGCAATACTTTTTCCCTTCTTTGCTTTTTTTTTTTGCCTAATGACAAAATCATTAATATGGCGGGTACAACAAAAAAGGCTTACTCAAGAGAAACAGTGGGGCAACTCTCCAGCACAGGAAATACTGTAGATCCATAACACCTGCTGATGTAGACGGAGAGTAGAGAAAGAGGAATTTGTCCATGACCTCAGCAGCGGCACACAATTTCCTCTGTACTCAGGCAGCAGGGGTGCCACTGCAGCAAGAATAATAACACCACCTCCAGAGAAAATGTGAAATTAAAATGAGAGCAAAAACAATTACAGCCAGCATGTCCTTCTATTAAAAAAATGTAAGCCAAATGTTTAGGGTATTCTTTTTTTTTTCTCCCCTCTTAATTTATTTGTGAAGTATCCAAAGAACAACAGTATTGGCATTGCAGACTGCAGTAAAATCAGAAGTTGGAACAAAACCGGGACACGTCTGCTGCCAAAACTAAAATGAAGCCCCTCAAGCACAGCTGCTACAGGAAAACACAGAGAGAGAACAGAGATAACGGTGCAAGAACACAACCCAACCTGCATGCATTAAATATAACCTAGAATTCCCCTTTTTGTTTACCTTGAAGTTATCCACATCAAAACCCTCTGCAGCGGGACTCACCTACCTTTCTAAACCCGAGACAGACAGCACAGTTGAGTCAGAGGTCTTCTGCTCTGTATTGACTTTCTCAGAGGTTAAAGTGCAGCGCAGTTCACCTCAGTGAGAAGAATTATGGCCCAAAACACCGCAATACCTTTAAAGGGCTTGCCATTGTAAGAAATATTCCAGTTTGAAACAGCAGTAAAGCCAGATGTCTTCTGGAGCTTCTTCTCTTCTCTCTGGCCTTTTCCCCCTTCTCGTCATGTCCAACCCTTGTGTGTCACGTAGGCGTCATTTTCTTTTCCAACAGTCTACCTCCCACCCCACCACCACTTCCTGTACAGTCAATGCTCTTTTCTGCTTTGTGCTTTAAATAAGTTGAACTGTCCATTGTAAAACCACCCCCTTTTTATTATAAGCACCACCCTGCTCCTTTCCTGGGCCTGTGTTCTAGCATACGCTCCCTGGACAATACAGCATATTTGATTCTAGATTTTCACACAGCTGCTTCTGAGCTGTTTGTTAATAGTGATAAAAAGAAATGGCTTTCTTTGGAAGGAAATCACTGACAATGTTGAAACGCATTCTTACAAAATAGGTTTTGTACTGCAGGCTTCTTATCCGGCACGAACACTAGTTGCCCTGCAGACACAATGCATTGTTTTGGTGTTGAATTGTAAAGAGGAACTAATACACGATTTACTCTATTTTTATTTCTTCCAATAATTGTCCCTTGCTTGCAACTGAGAAACCTCTTCAAGCACGTTAAGGGGAATGCCAGCGATTTCATTCCCTGGGAAAGTTTAGCTTTGTGTTAAAATCTGATCGCCAGCTGTTTTAAAGAAAACTGCAAGCGGATACAAATGAATCCATCAAACAAGATGATTTGATATGATCGAAAGCGCCACAACAGCCTCCGAACCAGCTCTGACACGAGATTGTTTTGCCACACGTGTCTCTTACACCACTAGAGCACTGAAGCATAATGACATCACTTATTCAGAGGTTAGCTCCACAGTTTCTCACTTTGGGGAGCACATCCTGGGGCACGGATATAATGAGCGATTTAAAAATGATTATAAAACCATTTGTATTTGCGAAGGATTTACGAATAATCATGGGAATCACAGCTGTGGCCCCCACTGAGTCTACAGAAAAGTGCTGTTAGTTGGAATTAACCAGTGGGTGGCACTAATACAACAGCTGAAAAATATCAACACTGTTAGCCCTCATATCAGCTTTTTTTTTTTCTTTTTTTCCTTCTTCTTCCTCAGCAGACATCATCTATAAGCTTCTGGCTCCATATGCAAATGAATTACTTGCTGGGGTTGTTTCAGTTTGCTAATGTGTTACTGCACAAGCGAGCAGCTGAATCAAAGACTCAAATGTGTAAAGATGGTGCAATTATATGATTTTATCTGGTGCTCTAGGGGATCATGTCTTCTTCTTTCGACTGCTCCCTATAGGGGTCGCCACAGCGGATCATCTCCTATCTCACCCTCTCTCCCTTACATTCTCCTCTGTCAACCCGTTGCACTACATCCACAAATCTCCCCTGTGGTTTAATTTTTTTTCAATTGCCTGGCAGCTCCATATTCAATATCCTTTCCCTGGTAGCCCTCCTCTGCACATGTCTAAAGCATCTCAGTCTTGCATCTTAACCACTGTGCTGACCTGAGATCACCTACCGGAAGGAAAATGCCGATGAATGATGAATGTGAAAGGAATCGACTTTCTCCAAATGCTGTCGCTGCAATGCAACAGCTGTTACTTCAAAGTTATTTCCCACCCACTGACCGTTCTACCGCAAACAAATGACTGCGTCCTCTTTAAGAAAACAGGCGTGTCCGTCACAGGTATGAACAGAAATGTAGGAAGTAGCCGACAAGTGTTTTCGTCCTTACAGCACAAAACTAATATGTGGACAAAGGGGCTATACAGAGGTAAGCCTATTATAATATAACCTATACTACATACTATATTTAAGATGTTTATGTTTGTTTGTTTATTAATCAGATGTAAACCGAACTAGATGTATAGCCAGCCAGCACAGTAACAATATGATAAAATGTCCACACAGCATTTATTGGAAAAAATATCCACACCTATCCCAGCTACCGGAGAGAATATCTTTAGGGATTTTTAAAAATATCCACACATGCATACATTTATTGTGTGCATATATATATCTTGTATAGTGAAGGTTTTAATGCTTTAATCTCCCAACAGACTGGCCTGACTGACGACATGAGACAACCTTTGCTCCTTATCAGCTTGTCGCTGGCAGGTAAAACAATTTGCACTGACAGTCACCTCTCCTCATGTCCCGCGTGCAAGGTTCAAACAGCTCACAAAAGTCTGTAAAGTCCAAAGAGTTTCGACTGAGTCTGTGCTGAGAGTGGAGGGGAAACAAGGCTGGGGAAAAGACGCCGTGGTATTCCAGGCACGTTTTAAAACAACTGCATTTCAAGCAGAAAGCTCGCCTTTAACCGCTCTTAAACCTGCGCGGCTGCATTCCCGTCGGTGCGCCGACTGAGTGACGTGATGCCTTCAGGGCCTGCTTACAGGCTCAAACATCTGAGCTTTCATCTCGTGATTCAACGAAGAGTGTCTTTTTTTTTCTTTTAATGGGAAGGGCGAGTCTACAGGTTTTGAAAACAATAATATGAACAATAGGACTACTAGTAGCATCGATACCTGGCTATTGTTTTGAAAACATGACATAAAAAAGTCCCAAAAGAGTCCCAAGAAAGGCGAAGTTTGCTCTTGTTTCAGTTATTTTTATTAAAAAAAAACAAAAACAAAAAACTACATTTCCTTTTTTCTGTTTTTCTTGTTGTTTTGTTTGTTTTAGATCTACTGTATTTTAAGAAAAAGAGAGAGAGAGAGAGGGAGTGATTCTATGTATTTGTGAAATGTTTTTAAAGATTTATGAGTTCAGCAGGAACAAGTGAGCCCAGAAAAGGTTCAGAGGCAGAATAACACGATTTTTCTTCGCGGGGTTTGTTGATAGTAGCAAAAAAATATAAAATAATGCCAGCCGCACTTAGCGCCTTGTGTTTCCTGTTTGTGAAAACCTTTTGCTCAAAAACAAAAAAGATCAGGCAACAAGCTTCTGAAAGCGAATTAGCGCCAGGAATGTAAATTATATTTTAATTTGTTCATTAACTAAGGGCTGTTCTTCATGCATGAGAGATAATTATTAAAGTAATAATCATCAACATTTTCATATGATTAAATATTCATTTTGCTGCTATCGGCAGCTGCTTCTACACAGTTCTCATTCAACCTACACTGCTCATGAAAGCACTTCTCCAGTTCTTGTGCCTGCGGTTTGGTGGATGCGTTTCTGATAAATTCTTTGGTAAACAAGAAGCTGTTTAGTTTACATCTCCAGAAATGTTGTTCAGCTGAAAGTGACTTAACGAGAAGGACTGTCAAAAGAAACCGCCACACCCACTGGAGCAACCCACAGATTTAAAGTCCAGCCTCTTTGGGTACAAGTTTGCAGGTGAAAGTTTCATCACCACTCCGCTTTTGCTGCAATTGGCATGGCCTCTGGACTCTTTGCTGCAGTTCATTTCAGATCCATGTATCCAACTAAATCACTTTAATAGTGATTTATTAGACAGGCTTTACTTATTAAAGTCTAACTCTTAATGATGTCATAAATGCATCTTATTTTAGGTGCCCTTGTAAAAACGGCCTTGTAAAAACATTCCAACCGCACATGAAAGCATCAGCTCTGGGCTGCTTCACTCGTTATCATTTCTCACTTCTGACTCATTAGCCTTTATTCTGACTTTTTTTTTTTTTTTTTTAAGAAGACAACAAACCTAAAAGCCTAAAACACTTTTGTTGTCTTTAAGAAATCAGTGGGGAAACCTGAATACAGGCCATTTCACTGGTGTCATTTTATTCTCTGCTCTCCTGTGAAAATCGTATAAAGGCAGTCCAGCGAGACTGATCAGGACCATATTGATTTATTCACTATAAATCACTGGCTGGTGTGTTGTGGCATAGAAGCTTTATATGCCAGTAAAAAAAGGCATTGAAAATTCAGCAGGGCTTTTCCAGCTTCAATCTGCAATACTAACACAAAACACACACAGAGAGGAATGGTAGCTAAAGACAAAAGCACATATTTCCTTCTTTATTCCCATGCAGATTTCAAATTGACAAACATGCAAACAGCAAAAAAACTTAAATTCAGTTTTTCTTTGGAACGTAGTTGCTTAAAAAATCGCTTATGCACCACTGATTTTGTGAAGAGAGACAGCAAATATGATTATGACATGGCTTACAATAAGTCAGGCTAACAAAAACACAAAATAGATGTTTAGTTTGGGATCACTTACAATCCAAAAATCATGGTGTGAAATCGATGAGGAAGGAAAGAGTGTGTACCTTACTAATGGGTTTTTACCCCCTGAGCCCACTGTGTGTATCTATAGATTTTCTCCTCTGCAGTGGTGAAAGATGTACTCAGATCCTTGGAGTAAAACTACAAATTTAAGAATACTATGCTATTAGAAGTATTCCAAAACCCCATATAAGTGAAAATGCAGATGCTTTCTTTTCATTCTAAAAAACATGTAGGTGCATCTCTGTAACCTAAACATTTTTGTAAATACCATTTTTTTCCCCAGTTTTCATTATTATTATTTTAATTTAGAAATGTTACCGTTTTATTCCATTCTGCTCCCAAAACAAAAATGCTCAGAGATGTGTCCCACACCTTTCCCCTTCTTATTCACCAATCTGCATTATTATATCGCGGTAACACAAACATGCAGACACACACCAGACACTATGCTAGTACTTGCCTTAATTCTTCAGATTCAGCAAGCTGCTGGAAACATTCCTCAAGGATTTTGGTCCATATTGATATGATCACAAAGTTGCAGCAGATTTGTTGGTTGCACATCCGTGATGCAAATTTCCTGATCTGCTGCAGAGGTGCTCTGTTAAATTGAGATCTGGTTATTTTAATACAGGGAACAAACTATTGCCAGTCTTGGCAGCCGGGGGTCAGTCCGGCTGCCAATCATCTATTCTTGGAGATGATTTGAGATGATTTGAGCTTTTCGACATGTTAACCTCATCAGAAAATGGGTACACTAGCAGCAATACTCAGGTCGGCTTTGACTCAGTTGGTGCTAAGGAGTCCCCGCATTACTACACAAACATCACCACCCTAATACAAAGAAGAACGGATCCATGCTTCTCTGTTGCTTCAGAAACTGTAGCTCGTTACATCAGTCAGTGTTTCTAATCTTCTGTTGTCAAGTTTGATGAGCCTGTGTGAATTACAGCCTCATTTTCCTGTTCTCAGCTGACAGGAGTTGCATCCTCTGTGGTCTTCTGCCTCAAGGTTTGACGCATTCAGAGATGCTCTTCTGCATACCTTGGTTATAACGAGTCCTTATTTGAGTCACTGTTGCCTTCCTGTCAGCTCGAAGCAGCCTGACCATTTTCCTCTGACCTCTTGACATTAACAAGATATTTTTGCCCAGAAAACTGCTGCTGACCAGATATTCTCTTCTTTTGGATAATTTTCTGTAAAGTTTAGAGATGGTTGTGTGGGGAAAATCCCAGCAGATCAACAGTTTCTGAAATATTCAGACCAGTGAGTCAAGCATCGACAACCATGCCATGTTAAAAGTCACTTAAATCACATTTTCTCCAGTGACGTTCAGTTTGAGCTTCAGTAGGCCGTTTTGACAGTGCTTACATGCCCAAATGCATTGTGTTACTTCCATGTGATTGGCTGATTAGACATTTGTATTAATGAGCAGTTAAACAGCTGTACCTACTAAAGTGGGAGTGTATTTGCCCATGGACTGTTAATAGCATTTTTAACTTTCAAGACAATCCCCTCTTTTCAGTACTTGCTACTGTAACCAACACTAGATGCTTATTTTTCTCTTTTTTTTCTTTCTTTTTTTGTTGTTGCTGTAAACAGAACAGAAACCAAATCCAGCTCAGACATAAGTTTGACCAATTTTTCATAGTGAAAAATGACCTGAACATGACCCGTTCCCTTGTGGGAGTATCTAAGTAATGTGGGCTGTTGCAGTGGATGGCCTTGCTTTTCGCCTGGCTTTTTGGAGGGTGACTTTTCTTCCCAATAGTTAAACTGGCTCTCCATTTTCAGCTAGGCAGTTGTTTGAACTTTCTCCATCTGTCTCTGGTTTTGGTCGAAGCCACAGCTTCTCAAATGACACTATAATGCGTCACCATCAAAGTATGAGAACCGTTTTGCTGTTTATGTTGGTTTTAAATTACTTGTTTGTTGAATGAACTGATGACTCATTATTGAGGAAGGAAGAAATAAAAAGGCCATACATTGATTTTATTCCTTAGTTTTTTCTAAGACGCTTTTGTCTAGACTCTTCTAATTTCTGCAGAAGGTCACAAAACAAAAACGCTGAGATGCACTGATTTAATTTTAAAAAATACACCGTGTTTATGCTTATCTTTGCCTGGATTACCCTGAAATTTGATGTAAACAGTCATGTGTCCTCAGGTGCTATTATGATGACGGCTAATTTCACTATCTAGTATATTTATTTTCGTAAAAAAAGATTACATTCTTATCAGGTTCTGCCGCACGTTGTTTGAAATATAAAACATTTCCTCCACTCTAAATGGAAATGATAAACATAGTAAGCACTGCATCTTTAATATCTCTCTTTTTTTGTTTGTTTGTTTAGTTCTCCTCCCCGTCGGTGTACTGGGTCAGAAACCGGTGGTGATCAATTTCCAGACAAACCCAGTGTTGTCTCA